ATCAGTTCTAATACATTTTATTTTTAACTCAAGTTGGTTTTCGACTAGTACTTTAAATTGTTTAAATTTACTAAAGACCTCAGACTTATTACTAAGAAAATAGACAAATACTTTCCTGGTATAATCATCCACGAAGGTCAGGAAATATTTGGCTCCACCAACTGATTTCACCTCCAAGGGCCCGCAAACATCTGAGTGAATAAGTTCAAGTGGTTTCTTCGCTCTTGAACCATTTCTTGGAAACGGCAGTCTTGACTGTTTTCCTTGATGACAGTATTCACACTCCATGTTAACCTTATAATCACTTAACATCACCCCTTCTGTACATTTGGTAAGTTTGCACAGATCTGTCATGTTCAGATGTGCCATCCGTTGATGCCATAAGTAGTGATCATTTTCACTTGTCTTACACATGTATGCCGGAATACTCTTAGTATTAAGCCTGTACATGTTGTTAATTAATTTGCAATTGGCAACTTCATCTTTAGCTCTATTGAGTATTTTACAGCCATCTTTATTGAACTGTACGGAACACCCATGTTCTATCAATTGACTTACTGAGAGAAGATTGCTCGCCAACTCTGGTATGTATAAAACATTAGTAACTTGTACTTTCTGTGTTTCTCCATTTTTCTTTGTTACAGTCAGATCAACTTTTCCACAACTTTTCACACTGAGCATTTTATCATTTGCAATACGGATGCTTGTGATTGGGGGTGCTGATTCATCATATAACCAGTCCTTCTTCATGGTCATGTGCATGGAGGCACCTGAATCTACAAACCAGCTATCATTGCTTATGTTGCTGAACGATGCTGAGAAAACTGCAACATATCCAGTTTCTTTTCCTGAATCTTTAGTGTTTCCCGAGTGATCCTTCTTTTTTGTTCTGCAATGTTTACTGATGTGACCATATTTGTTGCATTTGAAACAACGTGGACCCTTGTTGATATTCTGTGGTCTCTGTTTTGATCTGTCAATTTTATTTGCATACAGTGCCACCGAGTCAGAAGATTTCACCTCTTGTAAAAGTTTTGTTTTCACTGAATCAGCCGTGATTGGTACTCCAGAGCTTTCCAAAGCCATTATCATGGGTTTGTAGCTTTCAGGCAAACCAGCCAAGAGTAATGTACCAAGCCACTCATCATTCACTTCAAAAGAAATATTCCTCAACTTATGTGCTGTGGTCATAATTTTATTCACGTAGTCTTCTATATTATGACAACTTTCTAATGTGGTTGTGATTAAATCTTTTAATAATCCAACACGGCGAGTTAAACCTCTGTCATCGAAAGCTTTTTGCAAGTTTGTCCAAACTTCTTTAGCAGTCTTCGCGTCTTGAATATGAATGTAGTTTATTGTGTCGACTAATAATATTATTTTTGACTTAGCTTTTAGGTCAAGTTTCGGATCTACTGCTTCATTTTCAATACAACACCATAAATCCTCGTGCTGAAGATACGTCTGGACGGAGAATTTCCACGTGTTATAATTGTCACGCCCAATTAATTTTTCAATTAGCATCATTGTATTACTGTTCGTAGACATTGCTTAGTATATATTCTTATTATAACACTGTTTCGCCAACAATCTTGCTCTTTTCCGAAACCACGTTTCCAGGTGAGGTTATGTCGTATCAGTTTTATGATCGGCGACTATTTCTTTTGTGAATACTACTTTTACAATCAGATTACGGGCTGGGCCCATAACCTGTTGTAATAAAACAAAATATCTAAACCTTCTATGGTGTTTTATTAAATAAATTATATTCTTACAGTTTTGCAGCGCAGTGACTTGCAGACCAGAGACCAAAGAGAGAGAGCGAGAGCATAGATTACATAGACCGAATTACATTTTTCTTTTTTTTATAGAACATACAATTTATAGCATTAGATAGGTACTTCAACAATAAATATGAATACCTATAACTGTTACTTTATTACAAAAAATAAAGATGTGGTTTTTGGTTCTACTACACCAATGGTCAAGAGATGGCGCTGTAGTCTCCTGAATCGCGCTTTGGTTCCGTTGTTCCAGATTAATAAATACTTTTGATAGGCCTTCACAATGCAGTCGTTAGCACCCACAATATAGAGATTCTATTTTGTTGGTAGATTTTCTTAATGTGCGGTAAACACAAAAGTAACAGCATGAAGTTGGTCGCTAAAGCGACTAACTTCATGCTGTTAATTTTTTGTGTTACCGCGCGTCTTAAAATTTCACTCTCATCATTTTTTCATAACGCGCCACCGCGCGCTTTTGTGTTCACCGCACATTAAGAAAATCTACCAACAAAACAGAAATAGAATCTCTATTTAGTGGGTGCTAACGACTGCATTGTGAAGGCCTATCAAAAGTATTTATTAATCTGGAACAACGGAACCAAAGCGCGATTCAGGAGACTACAGCGCCATCTCTTGACCATTGGTGTAGTAGAACCAAAAACCACATCTTTATTTTTTGTAATAAAGTAACAGTTATAGGTATTCATATTTATAATATTTATCCACATGTTTCTAGTTTGTATATTCGGAATACGTGTTTGAGTTTCATACAAGTGCAAATCACATATGTTCTAATAAATTATATTCAGTAGCGATTTTAATTGAATATTTTGATTATTTATTTATTTTTTCAAATTAAAACTGAACTTTATTGACTGTGTCCTTTTCCAGACTTTTTATTAATTTATTGTAATTAATTATTTGCATGCAATTAAAAACTAATTTTAAACGATGCCAAAGAAGGATAACTTCTCACGCGCCTACATAAGTACACGCACCCATTTTGACGACCTACGTGGCCGAGTGGTTTGTACGCCGGGTTTCATGGCTGTCGCCGACTCGAGAGGTCCCGGGTTCGAATCCCGGTGGGGGCAGATGTTTGTGTGATGAATACGAGCATTTGTACTCCAGTCATGGATATTTAATATGTATTTATATAAATATACTTATATATGTACAGTATATGTATTCTATCCGTTACCCTAGTATCCCATAACACAAGCCTTATAGTGCTTACTTTGGGGCTAGGCTAATTGGTGTGAGTGTCGGAAATATTTATTTATTTATTATTTATTATTTTTTTTGTGTGTAAGTATTAATAAAGGCAGTGTTCTCGAATAACGTCCTATTGTTATTTCGTATATACCGCAATGTGTGATCTGACGGTGATAGTGAGACACTTAAGCGAGCCGCATTGTTATATAGATATATACCCATCTAGATACACATCTTGACACAAAAATAAATGAATATTGCCTAATTCCAGACTAAAACCAACATCATCAAGCACGTCACATTCATCTATTAAAATGTATAACAAATTGCCTAATACAATAATAAATAAAAATAATTATTTGACATTTATAGAATTAGAATTTATTTATTTGCATTTGAATAGGGTACACTCAAAATTTGTAAGATCCCCATCTTACAAATTTTGAAGTTCGGCCCATTCGGCCATCTTAAATAGCATGCAAATATTTTACACTACATAATTAAACGTAATACATATCAATCAACATTGTGAAATCATTTTTCAATATCAATAACAATAAATTTAAATTCATTATAAGTTAAAAGAATTTATAATCAACAAATGAAAATGAATAGTTTATTTGTTTTCAATTCATACATAAACTATAAAATTTTAAAAATCTAACAATGAAATAACCGAACGCTCAATAAAAGTATTTCGAAGGTAGCTCCACAAAATTAAAAAAAAAAACATTGTTCTGACGAAGCAGACCTGAAAAAGCTGCGAAACGTCAATAAATAAATAAAGTTTCGTGTATTAACCCGTTTGTTTAGGCAAGACAATAAGAAATTCTGCCTGCACCGGAACGTCGCATCATCTTTCTACCAGTAAGAGCAGCTGTGACCCACGTGATGAAACCCCCCCCCCCCCCCCCCTATACTTCTCTCTACGCAATTCAAATTTTGTACGCTCAACTTTCTCAAGCAATTTTTCGGCTCATATATTTTATCTTGTAATTCTTCATAATATACGCATTGTATAAGAAAACTGTCGCTTTATTAAATAACTACGCATTAATGACGAAACACCGTTAAAACTAGTTTTATATAATTAATATTTTAATGATAAAATCAGTAATCATTAATATGTATACAATCAATATAAAAATTCAATTAGCACAATCAAAAATAAACACATGACGCAATCTCTATCTTCCAATTATAAATTTAGTCATAATGCTGTTCATTTGGGAAGCGCATGCTTTCTTCTAATAACCAATTGCGTGCTCGTCGTTGTCCATAATGCTCATGTTTATGTATGTATCTACCACCCACTGTATAATGCGATTCAAATAAGAATAGGAAAGCCAATGACCTACATCTGTCAAATGTCGCATGAAAAGTACGGTTTGCAGAAAAAACTCGGAACACTTTTTTAGCACTCAGCTAATTCTAGAATAAAAACCAAACATTTGTAAACAAACAATAACAAATATTGATAACTAATATTGGTTGATACATTTTTCTTTTATTGAGCTTTGGCTATGAATGGTTGATAACCTAAATAGTCAACTAAATGTCACTTTATATTGCGTTCAGCAACTCGATTTGAAACTTTCGTTTACATAAAGCATGCATGTTCGTATGTGACCTAGTAATAGTGCATGATTATTCATAACTACTCCGGCGGTAATGCAGAGATGAGCGGAATTTAAAGAGCTAGATTCTGATTAATGTTTTTTCTCACACAGTCTTATTTAAGAAATATTATTAAAAATCGGTTGAGTTTTTTCTCAATCTTAGTAAATTAAATTTATTACAAAAATCTGATGTTTCTTCTCACTTAATCTTATTCAATAAAAACTTTTTTTTGCTCACTCTACCTATTTGCTTTGAATCGACAGCTATGACGTCACAATATGGCGCCCAGTCGGTCCTATTCTTAGTTGAATCGCATTATACTCATACTCATACACATTATAGTTGCAATAAATTATTGGAGTATGATTTATATGGACTCACCAGGCACCTTTTCCGCGTGTAACTCGTATATACACCTGGTCCTGACCAGCAGGGGCCGCCGGTGCAGCACCCTGATGGGAGTGCGCTGCGTGAACACTATCCGGGCCGAGTGCTCCGCGGGAGTGTTGCGGAATGTGTTGAGGCGACGGATGTCCTCGTCTGTCACCGTTACGGGCGCTGAGGGGTCTAGCTGTGGGGCCAAATAAATCAATCAATATTTCGAACCCAAACCTTACAGGGCGCCCTTTGGTGTGAGTATACCGCTGATGCTTTCATCTATATCGATAAAACTCAAAGGTGACCGACTGACTGACATAGTGATGTATCAACGCACAGCCCAAACCACTGGACGGATCGGGCTGAAATTTGGCATGCAGGTAGATGTTATGACGTAGGCATCCGTTAAGAAAGGATTTCGATCAATTCTACCCCCAAGGGGATAAAATAGGGAATGAAACTTTGTCAATTTTAAACCGATCGGGCTGTGAGACTTTGCATGCAGGTATAGGAAGAATCATAGATGAATGTCATTGTGTGTAATACAAGCCTGAGAACAAAAACTGTAGTCTACACTTCAGCTCTACACCGAAGCGAAGCGAGGGCGGGCCGCTAGTATTTAATAAGTTTTAGAAAAAGAATCTCACGTTTTTTACTAATATTTAGGGAGTCCATAAAGAGTGGATATCTTTACTTCTTTTGTGGAATTCAGTAAAAAAGCTAAACCAAAAAAAAAACAATTTAAAGTTGCCGCGAAAGCATTTATCTGGACATTATGGCGTCTCACCAGTATTTGACGTCAGACGACTGTCATTAAAACGTCCAATAATACAATGTAATGTCACTTTGGCCGCAAGTTTACTAGCATGTGACGTCATTTTAGTCTTGGCCAATCCCAGGCGTTTTCAATCACGTGACCATAGAGCAAAAAAATAATTTCCATTTAATGATTTTATAGAGAAGTTATATTATTTGTTCTTTCAGAATAGTGAAATCGCTACTAATATTCATATTGACTGACGACCTCCGTGGCCGAGTGGTTTGTACGCCAAGTTTCATGGCTGTCGCCGACTCGAGAGGTCTCGGGTTCGAATCCCGGTGGGGGCAGATGTTTGTGTGATGAATACGAGCATTTGTACTCCAGTCATGGATGTTTAATATGTATTTATATAAATCTAATATATAAAATTCTCGTGTCGCGGTGTTTGTGGTTAAACTCTTCTGAAACGGCTTTTCCGATTCTCATGTGTGCATATTGCGTAGGTCTGAGAATCGGACAACATCTATTTTTCATCCCCTAAATGTTAAGGGTAATCCACCCCTAAATTTTTTTTTCAATTTTAGATATTTTTTTTTATTCTTTTATGATACAGCATTAGTAAACACATACAACCCTAAAGTTTCACCTTTCTACCACCAACCCCTATTTTTTATGGCGGTACGAAGTTCGCTGGGTCAGCTAGTATACTTATATATGTACAGTATATGTATATAGTATTCCATAACACAAGCCTTACAGTGCTTACTTCGGGGCTAGGCTAATTGATGTGTGTATAAAAAAAATAAGAAAAAAAAAATAATACGAACGCCATCAATTGGTACATTATTTATATACTGTCAAATGGCCTAATAAAATGAACTGGAAATTTGTGGAATTCGTCGATTGCTGTATATAAGCCGCGCAGTGGACAGTTGAGATTCAACAGCGATTATACAGACGTTTTAAGTTACCGTTACAAGTGTGCGGTTGTATAAATAAATAAACAAATGTTTCCAACACTCACACCAATTAGCCTAGCCCCAAAGTAAGCACTGAAAGGCTTGTGTTATGGGATGCTAGGGTAATGGATAGAATACATATACTGTACGTATTTAAGTATATTTATATAAATACATATTAAACATCCATGACTGGAGTACAAATGCTCGTATTCATCACACAAACATTTGCCCCCACCGGGATTCGAACCCGAGACCTTTCGAGTCAGCGACAGCCATGAAACCCGGCGTACAAACCACTCGGCCACGGAGGTCGTCAAAGGTAAGGACTTATGTAGTGCCCCGTGAGTGTAGTATTGTGTTTTTAATAAAGAACTGTGTTGTGAATAAACAACTGTCAAGCGTGAACTATATTTCTAACCCATCCCGACACGTAACAATATAATATAACTTACGTCAGTTTCGTATTCGGAGTGCGCGAGTTTGATGCAGAGGGCTTCGTATGTCTTGCGTTTGGTTTCTTCTGCCTTTTTGAGGTCTGTCAAGTCTTCCCTGGTCAATTAACAATGTAACATTGAACAGTAGGCTTTGATTGCATATATACACGTCTAAATAATGCAATCCCAATAAAGCACGCAAAGAAAACGACTCATGTTATGTGCAATGTGTGCGTGTGTAGCGACGAGATTATCTACCATATGTAGTAGATATTTTTTTCTTCGCTTCTGTTCAGTTAATTCTATAATCAAAGACAGCAGGTAACATCTGAATGATTTTATTTTTAATGTAGGAACAGTTAAAGTTAAAAATTGATTGGCAATATATATTATTAAGTTATACTTCGTTGCACTATGAGACCTCCCTTTTTCAAGTAAATATCCCTGATTTTCACTTAAAACTTCGGAGTTTTTATAAAGTAAGTAAATTAATAAAACGGTGGTTCGTCCCGGTTATTGAAGTTATACTTCTTTAGGCGCGTTATGAAAAAATCATATGAGTGAAATTTCGAGATTCGCGCGCATCACTGTAACACAATAGTAACACCATGAAGTTGGCCTCTGTTCGAAAGGTACTTTGAACGATCCACGGAGCTCCATAAGATGATCGCGTTGTCAAAAACAATGTTGGCACGCTCGTCGCCTCTGATCACTGTTTTCATATTTATAATATTGATCCACATGTTTCTAGTTTCTATATAGACACAACGTGTTTTAGTTACTTACAAGTGCTAATTACATATGGACTAATAACTTAAATTCAGTAGTGATTTTAATTGAATATTTTGAATATTTATTTAATTTTTCAAATTAAAACTGAACTTAATTGACTGTGTTAACTATCCTTTTCCAGTCCTTTTATTATTTTATTGTAATTATTAATTATTTGCATTCAATTAAAAAATATTTTTAATGATGCTAAAGAAGTAGGTATAACTTCTCACGCGCGTACATAAGTTACACGCATCCATTTTTTTTTACATTTTTTTTTAGAAGATATGGCAGTCGTGATTAGGAAGTGGAGGTATATATATATATATATATATTGCATTTTATGGACAAAAAATGGAACTTCATTATCTCTCAAGACTCGCTTCGGAAGGAATGTCATTGTCCCGCTTCTGCATTCGTTAGCAGCCACCAATCTGGATTGGGCCCGCGTAGGTCGCGGCCCGATCTCCCATTCCCATCCTAAGGGAATACCTGTGCCACAGCAGTGGGGACATCAATAGCCTAATATGACGATTGATGACGTATAATATGTATAGCGTCAGCACCGTGGCGCACCAAGTTGACATATGTCACTGACATATCGACCCCTTTGGCTTCAAGTGACTTTTTACATGAGAAGCAAAACACAAAAAAAAAACAAAACGAGCGAGCCTTAGGCATTGTCCTAATACAACGCGATAACGCGATCATCGCGCGTTTTAACGATGCGACCATCGCGTGATCGCGAACTGGGTGTCCTAATAGAACGCGAATACGGAACGGGTTAGCCCTGCCCCTCTCCCCGCTTCCTATCGATGCGACGCGATCATCGCGCGAACTTCAGTTAGGACACCTATTCATCATTAATAGGTTTGATTGCGCGTTCGCGCGATCTAAGTTCGGCGAATAGATTTTTAAACATTTTAGTCGCGCGAATGCATCGCTCGATCGCGTATTAGGACACCTATTCTAGATCAATATGTTTGATCGTCGACTCGTACGATGATCGCATCGCTCATTCGCGTTATCGCGTTGTATTAGGACAATGCCTTACAGTAGTCGCGTATGATGTGTAACATTTGAAACCTCACCTTATATTAGTAAAAAAAGAAATAAAACTTACTACAAACGGAATAAGCCATTTGAACATTATGTTCTAAAATCAAATCAAATAGCGTGCGCTTTCGCGACTTCCTGTTACACACTTCCGTCCCATTTCACGAAATCGCTCCCACAAATTGCAGGAAAGCGAGAGGAAAGCTGTTACACGTCAAAACCGATATATATTTAACTTTTCTTTGGCTATATTGATGATACTTACATCAAAATAAATATATATAATTTACTCTTTTTGGTTATATTATTATTTATTTCAAAATACATATTATGTGAAGTTGAAATAGGCAGATCGATAGAGCGAAAAAAATTAAACAAATCTGAATTTTTGAGACATTTTGACCCAAAGAAGCGGTAACGACAAATGAGACCAGGGGGCCAATCGCCTAACTGGATTGCTTTGGAAAACGCTATCGCTTACGATTTCATTTTGTTATTTCTAACCGCCGAAATACCTCACGCTCATTTTCTTTAACATTGTTATTACCAATGCAAAAGAAAAAAAAAGAGCGCGAGGCATTTGAAAACCTCAGGGGGCTAGAAATAACAAAATGAAATCGTAAGCGATAGCGTTTTCCAAAGCAATTCAGTTAGGCGATTGGCCCCCAGGGGGCCATTCGCCTAACGGAAACGCTTACGATTTCATTTTGTCATTTCTAGCCGCCTGAGGTTTTCAAATGCCTCGCGCTCTTTTTTTTCTTTTGCATTGGTAATAACAATATTAAAAAAAATAAGCGTGAGGTATTTGAAAACCTTCGGCGCCGGCGATCAGAAATAACAAAATAAAATCGAAAGCGTTAAGGTTTTCATTAGCATTTCCGTTAGGCGAATGGCCCCCTGAGCGGTCGATGTGTAAAGCTAACGGGTTGTTGTGGGGCGATCTTTTACTGCACCAATTTCATTTTAATAGAATGTTCGTTAATGGTTTTGTTTATGAACCTCAAAATCAGTGATGTCAAAGGAAAAAAATGATGTGGGACACCAGGTAGGAACGAAGTTGAGTATATACTATGCATTGGCGGGGTGGAGTGGTAATAGAAAGGGAAGGGATGAGAGAACGAAAACAAAGAGGGAGAAAGAGAAAGGTATTATACACTACTCGCTAGTGTATGCGACCGTCGCGCCTGCGCACGTCTCATTTAACGGTTTTATTCCACGCACTTTTTTCCACGGATTTTTTCTTACGGTTTTACTATCACATTTTTTTCAGTTCGGTCGCGCAGCAAAATCCCTATCCCCTCCAAGCCTGCCGTAAGGAACTTCGTTCCATAAATATTCGTTCTTTATTAATTCTCCTGCATAAGAATTCATCTTGTCAAGGTTTCGTAAAGTTGTAACTAACAATGAAAACACTACAATTGTAACGCGTATCCTACACAGCCCCGATCTCATCTCATAAATAACCCATAATTTATCAAATATGTCGACTTAAAAAAAAATATGTGTGCGTGTACTAGTGTACACACGTAAGAAATGAAACTTCTTTATGGCCTTATTTTTCGAAAAATGATCTACATGCAACTTTCCAGAAATTGGTAAAATAAAGTTAAATTAGATAAAGTTTAAACAAAAGGATTTTATTATCATAGACATGAATACAAATTACTGCCTATGAAACTGTTATGATTACACGGCTCAGTAATCTAAGGCACATGTTCCACCTCCGACGATGAACGATAAGCGAGTAGAAACTAGAAACGAATTGGCAGTCCTGAGTTAAAATGCACGCGCACGGCTTTTGACAGCCAAGCCAGCTTAACCGAGCGAGTATAGCTGAGCGAGTATCGCTGAGCTAGTATCGCTGAGCGAGTATCGCTGAGCTAGTATCGCTGAGCGAGTATCGCTGAGCGAGTATCGCTGAGCGAGTATCGCTGGGCGAGTATCGCTGAGCGAGTATCGCTGAGCGAGTACCGCTGAGCGAGTATCGCTATGCGAGTTTGGCTGAGCGAGTCTTATCTTTAATAACTATTGTCACTCAGCTACAAACGAGTAGAGAGAGTTCTCGCCGGCGACAGTGTGATCATTCAGCTATCAACTATTAATATAAAAAAAGATGGCGCGTAACGGAAAAATGTGACGCGTAACCGAAAAATGTGACGGTAAATTTTTTTCCAACGCCGATAAAGAAATTTCACTTCAAAAAAAATACCCTTGTTTGACAATTATTCAACAATTACAATGACAATGACAATTATTATTTTCGTTGTAAGATACGGGCAATTGTAACAAAATGCCTGTCATTTTTTATATTAAGCATTTCCGAAAATAATAGTTTCATTTCTAGAGCATGTCACAGCTATAATAAATACTTCAGGGAATTGGATATATTTTGCCTTTCTTACAATCAATTTAGAAATGAATGCTATAAGGTCGTTTTACCCTAACACTTGTATTTCCTTTTATTCACATAACTCTAAATATTGTACGTAATCTTAAGTAAATTATGTAAGTATATGTTAGTTTCAGTCTGCGGAAACTTAACTGGTTTATGAAAAATTAAAAAGTGTTACTTAATTGAATTGTGTAAAACTGTATGTTTCCCAAATGAAAATAATTCTCAAAAATGTCACTTATCAGTCAGTGACATATGTCGACTTGGTGAAATACCTGGACGACATAGTCTAGCAGGACGAGGCATTAATAGGCTGGCAATAATGATAGTTTGGACAGTTTGTAGACTAAATGAATAAATTTAAAATTAAATGGTCGGTACTCACTTTGTCACCGGCACCATTAACTTGACGATCACTAGACCACTTTTGGATATTTCCTCGCAAATATTGTTCAGTTCGTCCGCACTCAATTGTCTATTGGGATCCGTTACCTGCGAATACATTGAATTTAAATGATTTATCTCTTATCTATTAGACAAGTCCGTCCGTCCGTCCATCTGTGGTGCTGTTTCAGCGGCCAAACCGTAAGAGATAGATAAAGAGAATGTTTGAGTTATAAGTTAAGAATAGTCTGATAAGACTACAAACCGGATTTGAGTAACGTAGCACTTCCGGTTTTCGAGAAATCACGAATTTCAAACGAAACCACACAAAATCTCCGAAGTTCTCAATTAATTAAATACATTTTTTTTTAAATCAGGTTTTGGTGAACATTTGGTTCACTGGTTTGCTAGTTAAACTATAACACCTTATAGAACTACTTTCATAGATCTAGGTTCTAGATTCAGGCCCTTCGCGCGGCAAAAAGCAGGGACAAGTCACATAGAAAAGGTAGTCATCATTCATTCAATCTGCATGGTGGATCAATCACCCTATTCCATCCATAGGGAAGGCAGTGGGGACATCAATAGGCTGGTGATGATGGCTAGCTTTGCTATGCGACTTGTCGACGACCAGGACCTTTCCGATCAGCTTAATCCTTTGGCTTTGCGTAGGGATGTAGCTTCGCTCTGCATCTTCTATCGCATTTATCACGGGGAGTGTTCTGAGGAATTGTTCGGATTAATTCCAGCTGCTGCATTTCGCCATCGTACATCGCGACAAAAATTTCATCCCCATCATCTTGATGCGTGGCTATCCACAACCGTGCATTTTTTTCGAAATTTTTTACCACGTACGACAAAACTGTGGAATATATTGTCGCCAGCAGTGTTTCCGGACCGATACGACCCAAGAACCTTCAAAAAAAGAGCGTACTCCTTCCTTAAAGGCCGGCATCGCATTTGTGATACTCCTGGTGTTGCAAGTGTCCATGGGCGACGGTGATCACTTACCATCAGGTGAGCCGTCTGCGAGTATGCCACCTATAACATAAAAAAGGGCCTGAATCTAGAACCTAGATCTATGAAAGTAGTTCTATAAGGTGTTATAGTGCAGTAAGTTGAAGTGTAGTGTAGTAAGTATGTAGTAAGGTGTAGTGTAGTGTAGTGTAGTAAGGTGTAGTGTAGTGTACCTCTATAGCGAAAGGTCTGCCATCTCCCAGACACCTCACGTCGACATCTTCTCGTCCAGCCGCCATGAACTTCAGTCGATGTTCAGAATCGGCCAGTGACATGCTGTAACAACAAACATACGGGATTGCATTTTTTATATAGTTCTTTCAAATTAAAATTATTCATTTTTTAAGCATTTAACTGCTAGATGTTTAAATCTAAAGAAAAGTTTACTAGAAAAAAATCCACGCGGACCAGGCAGCGGACGGGACTCGAACCCGCATCCTTCGCTATCCGAGCGAATGCACTGACCATTACGCTACCACGGCCCTATTAGCCGCGTCGAAATTTTCCTAGCCTTAAGCTGCAAGGCAGCGCCATCTCTTCGCATTGTAGGTAACATAATGGTCAGTGCATTCGCCCGGATAGCGAAGGATGCGGGTTCGAGTCCCGTCCGCTGCTTGGTCCGCGTGGATTTTTTTCTAGTAAACTTTTCTTTAGATTTAAAATTATTCAATAAAAAACAAAATTTTGTTTTTTTGCTCACAATGGCTGAATGTTATGAAAAACTGTTATTAATTCCCAAATAAATCGGTAAAACACATTAATCTGTTACTCCATTGAAACGTGGGATTATGATCCCAATTACAACGGCCACAAATACCATATTCCCATGAAAGTACTCACCCGTATGCTTTCGCCAGCGGTTCAAATATGATCTCTTGAACCGAAGATTCCATCATACGACGGCCGTTGATGATCCACGGCGTTTGTGGCAACTCGCGCGACAACTTGATGTACCTTGAGGACAGGGAATAAGGGCTACATTAGAAGTAGCTAATAAGAATTTGATGGGTCATAATAAAATAAAAAAAAATGTGTGCGTGTACTAGTGTACACACGTAAGAAGTGAAACTTCTTTATGGCCTTATTTTTTTCGAAAAATGATCTACATGCAACTTTCCAGAAATATATATATAGGCGTGCGCTAAGATTTTTCAAAAACTCACCCACTAAAGGGGTATAACTACACCTTACCTTACCTTACCTTACACCCTAAATACTAATAACTAATACTATTTACTAAAACACATATATAACGAAAACTGAAATCAAGCTTAATACCAAAGGCGCAGTCCGTAAGCGCCCGCGGTATATTAGCATCTTCTTAAGCTAATCTCATATCAACCTACCTTACCTTACCTTACCTTGTGTGAAACACGAATATTTGCTGTCGATACTTTTTTTTTAAAGTTGACAGAAGAAGCAATTGTTCGGATGAGGTAAATAGTGCTCTTTTAAAAAAAAGATGGCGCGTAACCAAAAAACGTGACGCGTAACCGAAAAATGTGACGGTAAATTTTTTGCCAACGCCGATAAAGAAGTTTCACTTCAATTAGTAAAACAACTTTTGATATTTTTCACTTTTCAAAATGGCATAGTGAGTCGTTGTCATATATATGCTATAATTCAGTTTTGTCTATTATCTCTAAACTTAGGTCACCATCACCACCACCATCAGGCTATTATTCTCCCCACTGCTGGAGCATAGGCCTTCTTCCTATGGATGGAATAGGAAGATTGGGCAATGACCCACCACGCGGGCCCAGTGCGGATTGGTGGGTGCTAACGACTGCAGATGCAGCCGGGACCAACAACGGCTTAACGTGCCTTCCCAAGCACGGAGGCACTCGAGATAGAAGATTTTTTAGTCACCCATCCAATGACCGACCACTGCAAAAGTTGCTTAACTTCAACGTTCACAGCCGAACGCGCTAACCACCTGCGCCATCGAGCTCCTCGATGGCGCAGGTGTAAGTGTTACGAATACTTATTCATCCATTTATTATTATTTCTTTTAAATATTGCAGGTATGAGTGCACCGCCAAAACACAAAGATTTCTTTGCCTTTGCCTGTAACGACTTCCGGATATAACGACGTAAATAGAGCGGTCCCTTCATCGTCGTTATACCCGCTGTATTAGTAAGTATGTACTCACCTCCCCCCCACATAGGCGGGTGCATGAGTACACCCCACACTCACACATTCCACCCTCCCCCCCACCGCCATGATCCCCTCCCCGCGCCCCGGCAGCGCTTCTAGCGCTTCGAGCGTAACTCCCTCTAGCGCTTGTTCCACAGAGCGACGGGTAAACTCTACGGTGAAGCGCTTTCTTTGCTGACTGCGCGATTCAAATAGGGTAGGCGAGAGGGTCTTTAGGACTTCCAGTTCCTGTACAATATATACAAAACATAGTCAAAACATTGTGAGTGTGATTGGGTCGTCAATCTAGTCATTATTGTGAATGTAATTGAGTTATCAATCTAGTCAATATTGTGAGTGTAATTAAGTCGCAAATGTAGTCAATATTGTGAGTGTAATTGGGTCGTTATTCTAGTCAATATTGTGAATTTAATTGAGTCATTAATCTAGTCAATATTGTGAGTGTAATTAAGTCGCAAATGTAGTCAATATTGTGAGTGTAATTAAGTCGCAAATGTAGTCAATATTGTGAGTGTAATTGGGTCGTTATTCTAGTCAATATTGTGAATTTAATTGAGTCATCAATCTAGTCAATATTGTGAGTGTAATGGAGTCATCAATCTAGTCAATATTGTGAGTGTAATTAAGTCGCGAATGTAGTCAATATTGTGAGTGTAATTGGGTCGTCATTCTAGTCAATTTTGTGACTGTAATTAGGTCGTCAATCTCGTCAATATAGTGAATGTAATAATGTCGCTAATCTAGTCAATATTCTGAGTTGCAATGTATGTTTGGGTTAAATCATGTAACTGAATTTAAAATAACTTATCCTAAATTTTGCCTACACATTCAGTTTGGATTACAATGCGTGGTTAACTAAGTGACGTCATACTTAATCCAATATGGGGGACTCGTAATATCTTTAGCACACCCATGATCCCACATTGGGATCTAATTAAAGTGTTTGTTGAATATAACACTAATAAATGTGTGCATTAAATTATTTTATTTAAAAGTAAGTACCTTCATAAAATATTTTTTAACATAAATTATAATAAGTACTTACCTGCAAATCGTCCGGGTATTCCATATGCAGGGTGACCAGTAACGGGGATAAGTGACCAGCATCCAGATTTATTCCCACATATGTTGCTAGTTGTGTGCCAAAGGACCATTTCCAAGCTTCCTTCAGTGGTGTCAACACTTCTTTATTATACAAAGCAAACAAAACAGGTGGTAAATATACAGGGTGGTCCAACTAGTGACGTCAACAATTTTTTTAGATTGCTCGCACCTGGGGCTATCCGAAAATACCCTATGTATTTTCCAGCGATTTTTCTGTTTTCGAATTCTATTTTTTTTTGTGTATTTCTAATGATTTCTGCCAGCGAGGTTTCAAAAATTGATATCTTGTTTCATAGTAGGTATTAAGTAAGAAAAATTTACAATACTCACTGGCATCATAGTCTTTGCAGGCATCACTCAACCTCAGGGACACAACTCTCTCTCTCAATATTGTGACAATGGGAGCTGAGAGGGCACATGCGAAGGTGGTACACTCATACCTGCATTATTTAAGAGGAATAATAATAAATGGATGAATAAGTATTCATAACACTCACACCAATTAGCTTAGCCCCCAAAGTAGGCTTGTTATGTTATGGGATACTAGGGTAAGAGCTTGTTCTCACTTTTCAGTGTCGGTCCAGGATTTTATGGAATACTCCAGTGGCAGAGCATTTTATATGATCGGCTCTGACACAACATCGGTTTCTGACAAGTGAATAGCTTCATATAAAATGCTCTGCCACTGGATTATCCAATTATAATCTGGGCTTGATACCCTACACGTGGGAATGAGTTCTAACAGATAGTAATCCAATTCCTACTAATATTATAAATGTGAGAGTTTGCATGTTTGTAACTGAATTACACAAAAATTACTAAACGAATTTGGATGAAATTTGGTATGCATATTGTAACGTGTTAAAAACGTCACATGGATCTCCTTCGCTCGAAGAGCGAGATAGAAGATTTTTTTTGGTTGTCTCTCTGGTCGTTTTTATCTCGCGCCCATTTTCTTTAATCTGTGCACTTTTGGGTAAGTGTGTTTCTGCCTTTATCGAGCAGTAGGCTGAATGGACGTTGTTCACTTTGCCTACCGCCAAGACAAACTTAAGAAAAGAACTGTCACTTCACTTCACGACCAAAATTTTAACATACAACATGCAGGATAATTAATCTCATTATTTAAGTTGATAATCCATTGGATTTTCGATTGTTTTTGATGATGAAACATTTTACCTCATCTATACAAAATGGCGTTGACCATGTTTGAAGCTTAATTTAATTGAAAAACGCGAAAAGCGTTTTTTTATATTTGAAATTTTATTTGGAAATCGTATTCAAATCACGATGTTTCCCGTGAGGTGGAGGTGAACCCACGGGACCTAAAAACGGCCATCCCCTACATACTTGCAAAACCAGACATATTTTAACTCCAAAGATGCAACAAGGTCGGTAATTTCCTAAATTTATAATTGTGTTTCGGCCCCCATATTAAAGGTAACATTCTCACTTACATCTTAGTCTTAGTTTCAAAATTTAGCAGTAATTCTTTCGGACCAGTAGTTTTGAACTAAATTTCAATATATAGACAACCCAAAATGAGAATGGATTTGCATTAATTCCCCTTTTGCGATTAATAGTTCAATGCTTTCCCGGCTAATATGGTATAATAATGTGGTAGGTCTGGCGCCCGAGTATTCTTTTTTTCATTAATTTCGACCTATCCATTTAAAGTAATTTTCACAACAAACTTTTTATTTTTTAATATTACAATATTGCTTATGACCTGGAATGCGACCTAGGATACTTTTGTTTCTGGAAAACGTTAGGTTCCTGAGGGATTGTCAAAAAACTGAAGTGAGTGCAGACCAAGTTGCGGCTGGCCACTAGTACATAATATATTTTAGATACAAAGATAAGTATAACAAACAACGGTGTCCCATCTGAGTTCATATCTAAATGCCGTCCATAGATGAATATGAACTTGCCTCCCCCACCAGGCCACAGGCTGGAGACGCCCGATGTTAATAAGCCACTGTGTTGATTTTAATGAAGTTTTTGGAACATACCTCCACTACTTTTTGTAGTGACAATAAAACTATATAGGGGTGGTGAAGGCAGGGTCTGGTAGTTTCAGCATCATCAGCCTAATAATGTCCCTACTGCTGGGGCACAGGCCTTCCCTATGGATGGAATAGGGAGATTGACCCACCATGCAGGCCCAGTGCGTTTGGTGGATGCTAACGACTGCAGATGCAGCTGGGACCAACGGCTTAATGTTGGAGCACGGAGAAGCTCGAGGTAGAAGATTTTTGGTCACACATCCAATTAATAAAAATTTAATAACTTCGCACCATCGAGCTCCTCATCTATCTTCTATATATATATCTTTCCTCTCTGTTAGTTTAATATACATAATTACTAAGTATATTTACCGCTTCTTATCAAGCAGCTCTTTGACTTTCTTATTGCATTCTGGCCAAACTTCTTCCTGGAGCAGTCCTAAGCATGTTACACACGGATTCCCCTTGTGTTTCTTATTGGGAGGCGAGTCTCCGTTACTGACTGTAGTGTTATTTGTTTCTACAGCTTCTTTCTCTGTTGATGAACTAGCACCATCTGTGGCCACAGGTTTATCTTGAAACTAGAAATAATTTATTATAATAATATTTCTAATACTCACCCAAATTAGCCTAGCCACAAAGTAAGCTCCTGTAAGGCTTGTGTTATGGGATTCCAGGGTAACGGATAGAATACACAGAATACACATAATATACTGACAGTGTAAACTCTATATACCGACACTAAAGGCTTGTCCAAGGCTTTTGATTGCGCATTACTCAGGAAACTCCACCACTATGGATTTAGAGATACTGATCTGGATCTTATTGCGTCATACCTGATGGATAGGATTCAGAGGGTTGACATTAACGGCAATAAATCTGCGGGTTCGCCGGTTAAAATGGGTGTTCCGCAGGGCTCAATCCTTGGTCCTTTCTTATTTTTAATTTATATTAATGACTTACCTTACTACGTTAGAGATAAGCATGAGATAGTATTGTTCGCGGATGATACATCACTTTTATTTAAACTCAAACGTAAGGAAACAGTTATTGACGACGTGAACAGTTGTATCTCTAAGGTAGTCCACTGGTTTAATGTTAATAATTTATTACTAAATGAAGGAAAAACGAAATGTATTAAATTTGTATTACCTAATGTAAAACAGGTATAAACCAGTGTGAATGTGAAGGATAGGAATGTGGGCCTTGTAGACACCACAGTATTCTTAGGGATTACTTTAGATTCTAAGCTTCAATGGGGCCCACATATTGATAAATTGTCAAATAGACTTAGTTCTGCAGCATATGCCGTAATGAAGATACACCAGTTAACGGATGTAGATACGGCCAGATTAGTATACTTTAGTTATTTCCATAGTGTAATGTCGTACGGAATTTTATTGTGGGGAAACGCCCCGCCGACATTCAAACTATTTTTGTGCTGCAGAAGAGAGCTATTCGATCAATTTATAATCTTAAAGTTAAGGATTCCTTAAGAGATAGGTTTAAAGAATTTGGTATAATGACGGTCGCATCACAATACATTTACGAAAATTTATTACTTGTAAGAAAAAATATTAATTTGTTTCTTAAAAACAGTGATGTTCACACACTTAATACAAGAAACAAAAATAAACTAACTTTACCTGCTACCAGGCTTCACAAAATCAATAATTCATTTAAAGGTCTTTGTGTTCGCTTGTACAATAAAGTCCCAAGCAATATCCAAGAGTTAAGCATAAATAAATTCAAAGATAGTATAAAAAAAGCACTTATTAAAAAAGCTTATTACAAAGTGTCTGATTATATTACAGACAAAAATGCTTGGGTTTGAACTGTTCCAATCATTCCAACAGGTTTTCTATATTAAATAAATCATGATTGTATTGATGTTGTAACAACATAATGATTTGTAAATGTTGTTACATTATGCTTTTAATGTTGTGGAGTTTTTTTCGCTCGTTTTTCTCCGCAGCTAAAAAATATGTCCAATAACGAGTGGTAGGGAAAAAAAAATGTTTCGACGATTCAAAAGTGTTGTACTATACATCCAATTTGAATAAAGATATATTGATTTCTGATTTCTAAAGGGACTGTACATTTTATGGCGTTATAGAGAGTTGTCGTTAAATGGAAAGAAAAAAAATCAGAATTATGAAAAAAAAAATTCATTTCAGCTAGTAGTTATGAACATGAAAAATCATCTTATTTCAATGCTATTGCGTATATTCTGTTATTTTTGTCTGACGTCTTTTGCTGCACCAGTAATTTTGTTGTATTATATTATTTTAGTCAAGATCAACAACAGTCTACACATGCAATCCCAATTTCTAAACAAAAGAAATAATTTCTTAGAAAGTTTGGTTTGCATGATGCCGGCACTTGAGTTTATTACAGGCTAGGATAATAAAGGGACAAAAGAACGTACACAGCTGCTTGATTTTCACAAATTTTGGCAACTTAAAAGGTACTTTTTATTACTTAGTTGTTGTCGTTATTGAGAGTGGGTGTAGTGCTATATGGAGTGTATCATTGTATGGAAAACAAAGTAAACCAAACAAACACAAGTGATTTCGACTCTTTAGGGGGTTTGTTGTTAAATCGAGTGATGTTACATGGAGTTTACACTGTATATACAATTATTACAGTTTCATCATCATCACATCACGAGCCTATTAATGTTCCCACTGCTGGGGCACAGGCCTTCCCTATGGATCTAATAGGAAGATTGGGCCATGACCCACCACACAACTGCAGAAGCAGCCGGGACCAACAGCTTATAGTGCCTTCAGAATCACGGAGGTACTCAAGATCGAAGATTTTTGGTCACCGATCAAGCTCCTTCTATTACAGCTTATTTAAAGGAAATTATTTTGTACATATTTATGTACTGCAACCTAGTAAACAACCACTGCAGATGTTAATGCTACATATAAATAGAAATGTATTGAAAATGAAAATGGTTTTTATTTCCCAAAGAGTCAGAATACAGTACAAGTTGAGACAACCCAGAAAGTAATAATTAATACTTGTGTTGGGATGCCTCGCTCTTAGCCTAGTGCAGTTAACAAATTTTGGGCACATAACAACTAATTTCTTAAAGTATCAGGTGTATTTGTACAAGTGTGTGTGTGTATGAATGTGTGTGTGTGTGTGTGTGTATGTGTGTGTGTGTGTATGTATGTGTGTGTGTCTGTGTGAGATGGAGAATAAGTGCGTGAATGTGTGTACAGTTGTATATATATTCAACCTCCAGTACGACCATTATGTTATTCTTTTTAAAATTAATTCCGTGTCTTCATAGTTAAGTGTTTTCAGCCAATTAACTAGAGTTGTTTTACATTTATATGACAACATAGGATACATGTTGTGTTGTAATTTTTTGTTTATAGTATTATAAATGAAAATACTTTGAGAGGGATATTGACGTCTACCAAAATCAGTGCGAGTTGGAAGGGAACGAAACACAATATCTTTACGTCTTCTGTCTAATTTTGAAGGATCATATTTTAATGTCTTATGTAATGCCAGGGTAGTGTTTAATAAATACAGCTGCCGGATAGATAAAAGATTACAAAGTTTATACAGATTGTCTGTGGGGTATCTGTAAGGTTTGAAATACATTACCTTGAGGAGTGATCTTTGAGCCCTTTCAAGATCAAGTAATTTATATTTTGAACTTCCTCCCCACACAGGAATACAGTACGTTATCACAGGCTGAACTAACGCAACATAGATTTTGTTCAGAAGTTGACTAGACATGACATATCACAATGTTTGAAATATCCAGGTAAGTTTCCTGACTCGGGCGATAACCAATTCAATATGTGAATGCCATGATAGTCTTTGATCCAATATAATTCCAAGGTATTTGGTGCTGATTACTTTTGAAATACTGGGGCAGTTACAGTTTTCGGTGGATGGATGGTTTTTACTACTGTGAATTTTAATTTGAAAATCATCAGCCGGTTGAGATCTTTGACTTGGGGTAAAACATATATAATTTGTTTTTGTCGTATTAAGCGTCAGAAGATTTGTGCTAAGCCAATTTGACACTTCAGCCAAAGCTAGTTCAGCAACGGTTTGTACTGCCTCCCAGGAATGACTAGAAAATACAAGTGCAGTATCATCCGCGTAACAGAAAATTCGTACTCCACTAATTCGAAGCTTACACAGGTCAGTAATGGAAACTAAGAACAGTGAAGGGCCTAGTACACTGCTTGTGGAACTCCGTTTGTGATATTTTCTTCGTAACTATTTAAATTGTCAATTTTAATAGCTTGTTTTCTTTCTGAGAGATAACTTTCAAACAAAGAGAGAGCAGTACCCCTAATACCAATGCCTTCAAGCTTTTTTATTAGTATGGGTACAGAAACAGTATCAAAGGCCTTTTTGTGGTCTAGGAATACAGTATTGGATTAAATTAAGGTTTTGAGTTCTCTATCTCTATTTTTTAACAATTAAACTGACATTTTACTTCTAATATAGGAACATATTGTTATAGTAATTAAACAGACGCTGAATAACAGCACTATTGAGCACGGAGAAAATAAAATAATAAGTTACACAGTGCTGTGATTTTAGGTTAGAATTATGTTTATTTATGTTTCCGTGTGCGGATTATTATTATAAATGAAAGAGTATTGAAAACATATTTATATAGCTTTTCTCATATTCTATAGTCCACTTACAATTAATGAAAATAGGTATCAATCGATAACAGGAAAATAAATCATCTTACTTTGAGAGCGAATTCCTTAGCATTCTCGTACGCTTTTGGATTTCTTATTCCCAAATATCGCAGCCCACAGGCATCGCAACATCCTAATTCCTTGCATTTACTAAATATTTGCTTCTGATCCATTTTTCAAAAAATAATTAAAACCAAAACAAACATGCGCTTTTGATTAAATTTCAACAGAACTTAAAATCAAATACAACTGACCTTATGAACTGAAAAGCATTTTATCAACTTTGTCATAGAGTACTTATTAGCTTAAGCAAATATTCGATACTTATTTCTTTAGTACTCTGTGATACCCAACATGTCAAATTAAGAAATTCCTTGTTTGTTTGATTGTTGGTTTTTTTTTACCGGCTGTTTCGATTGTTTTCAGAAAAAATATATGCTCAACGAGTAATTAAAAATATTGATATCATTTCTGATAACTAATTGCATTTAATGATATGAATGTTTTTCTTGCAATACTACGATAAATAACAGTTTGTAGTGAAAATTTGCATGCTTAATTTTAGTACACTGCATACAACGGAACGTGAAAAATTTACTTTGACACTATTTGTATACCAGTGCAAAAAATGCTCGTTCAGCTGATTGGATAATATTTTGTAAATACAAATTAGAAGTTTAGTTTTGATTTTTTTCAGTAATATAAAGCAAAATAAAGCATCTCTATATAATTTTTCATGATGATTTTTTCTATCACTAACATAAGTGCACGGTACGATAAAACGTTTTTGAACTCGCTCATGTACTGTCAAATCTGTCAGATTTTGTATTTTTATGTAATTCAAAATAAAAAAATCAAAATTGCTTCAAATAGGCACCGGTGAAGCTGTAGACAATAAGTAATAATAGTTACATTAATATAAAATGGGAGCAGTACATGCCAAGGTAATCTTTGAGTATTTTCCTTTACTTTATACAAGGAGGTTAGGAAATTATTTGGATGAAATATTATTGTTCTTTCTACTAATCTTTTACGATAATTCTTCTTAGTAACAATAAATAATGCTTAGTTAATACTAGAAGGTTGAAATATAATAATATGGCTTTTCTTTTTGCTATTAGAAAAGAAAAAGTCTTTCCTTCTCTAGTATCATAAATAGTTCTTTAGAACTATATGCTAATATCATAGTGTTCAAATATACAAGCCGATTTCTAGTAGGCATAATACCTATCTAGCTCTAAATGTTTTTGGTTATTTATACTAGAGGTTCCCTGCAGTTTCACTTGCATTAATTTTAGGGAAAAGACTTGTGCTGTTGCAGACTTTTTATAGAAATATTAAAAGGGAACAATTTTTTTTGTACAATTACACAGTGTAATTAGACTAGCAGTAATTACATTTTAACATGAATGGTTCATTGGTGCTTTCACCTGTTTGTACGTAATAAGATCTTGGATTACAAGAAACAAATACCTAGGTTTTTGATAAGACACTACATCAAAAAAAAAACAGTGCAATGAACTAGTCCAATATTTGTATACATATTTTGTATTGGGTAAAAATATTGTAAAAGGCATGCATTGATAAATTCTAAAAAAATATAAAACAAAAATTAAAGAAAATTCACTAATTTATTTTATTTTATGTTCATTAATGTTTTTTAATACATAGTATAATATTTTTTATTAATGGAAGAATAAAGTATTATTGTCATAATTGTGAACTATTGCTATTTACAAAAAAATTCTTGTGATACCCATTCATTCATTTATGAGATTGAATAAATTAATTTTCACAATTATCAAATTTAATTTCCTTTTTCCACTGAAATTTAGACAAAAAGTTAAATTATGTTTAAAACATCTATTTTGTTTTAACTGAAAACTTCACCAAGACTATAGATTTTTTTTCTAGTAAAAAATTCTTTAGATTTTTAGCAGTTATTATTGCTGAAAATAACAGTAGAAGAAACTTCTATCTATAAATCAGATAAAATGAGTTTTAAAATTAATTTAGACTAATTTGAACAAAGAAGTTTGGTCCAAATTGCTCCAATAGTTACTTTCCTGGCTGTACTAATTGCTTTTATTTGAGTGTTTATGCTGTTGGTCGCAGATGACCTTTACAGTGTCACCAGGTTTGGGCATAGCAAGATCCTTAGGGGACCTCAAGCCAAAAATTGGCGATTGCCTCTAGAGGTATTCCAGGCAGGTGGCATCTCCCCATGGGAGGATACTCCTCTCCATCTGGAGCCTCTAGTTTAGACCACTCAAATCTGAGGGGGGGTACTAATTGCTACAACATTCAACACAAAATACAAGGAATGGGAAAATGTATCATGAATGAATGAATAAGGATGGATGTTGGAATGGTTACTAGAAGTATGAGTGACTGGAAGAATGAATGATTAGTAATGATAAATGAGTGAATGAATGGAAGAAGTAGTTTATGTATTATTTGTGTCATTCAAATTAATATACTTTAATAACTAGATACTTAATTAATAAAGTATATCCAACACAAATACAAATATAGTAATCCATCTTATTGTACCCAGTTTAAACAATGAATAAATGAATCTGAATCTGAATCATATTTCTCAAATAAAACAGTAGTGTTTTCAGAATACTTATCTATTGTGTCTGATACTAGTCACAAAAAAAAAATCTCACCCCACCTAATGTTATATGTGAGAGGAGTCCAGACGTGAAGATAGCTGATTTGGCAGAGAATTGTGTCTCTCCATTATCTCCAACCATCTTCACACTCCTGTGGAGGCATGAAATCTTATTCACTAACAGACATATACCACCATCAAAAGATAGTGCTATTTTACTATGAGATATATATTACATACTATTGAACTATGGAGTAAATAAGAAGAATTTCAGCTCTAATACTTGTGAAAAAGCCCTTCCTCGCATGAAATATAACAGACATTGCTAGCAAATGAGAGCTACAAATTATTGTTCACTGAAATAATAATATTAATCTTATCCATTACAGAATTAAAACTATGATTTTACTAAAAAAATTGCATGTTGTCTAAAGCTAAGAACTCACGGAGCGGGTTGAAGCTGCTCTCGCTGCGGCAACCGGACTGCAATATTGCTTCATGTGTTCTAAGTCTAATAGCCCCGTCTAACTATGCTCCTCGCGCAGCACATCGGTTTTCTATGCGGTGTTCCCTCTTTGACCACCCACACTGCTTTACTCGCGCAATTAGTGGCGAAGCTCCGTACTTGGTTATTACCTTTGCTATATGATAGACGATGTGGCGCGCTGTGCAATTTTAGTATAGCCAATTATATCAATGTCATACAAAGAAAAAACCGACAAAATAGGGAGCAGTGGGCATGACATGCACCGTGACGAGTAATGTTGTCTACGTCCCTGCCTCCTTTCCTCGCTACCACCCACACCATTCGTCAAGTGGGTGGCAGGGGGTATAATAGTAAAATAAATTATACATGATATGATCGAACGGCTTTTGTACTATATTTTTTTAAAGCTATTTATTATGTTATTACTTTCAAATGTTATCTCGTAGGTACTTAGTTTATTTTGTTTGTCTACAGTCGGCCGACAATACGGGTGAGGTGGGGGGTGGGTTATTTGAATTTGAGGAGCCTGTGGAGCTGGAAGAGGAACCGATGCCCAAACCACAGATCAAACTGGAAGGTGTACGGGTATGTGCCTATGATTAAACACCATTATTATCATCAGCCTATTAATGTCCGAACTGCTGGCACATGCCTTCCCTACAGACGGATTATAATGCGATTCAACTAAGAATAGGATCGACGGGGCGCCATATTGTGACGTCATAGCTGTCAATTCAAGCGAAAAAGGTACAGTGAGCAAAGAAGTTTTTACTTAATAAAATTTATTTACTAAGAATAAGTGAGAAAAAGATTCCGATTTTTTAATAAAATTTATTTACTAAAATTGAGAAAAGAAAATAACCGATTTTTAATAATATTTATTTATTAAGACTGTGCGAGAAAAACATTAATCAGAATTAAGCTCTTCAATTCCGCTCATCTCGGCATTACCGCCAGAGTAGTTATGAATAATCATCCTAGTAATAGACTAGGTCTCATACGAACATGCAGCCTATATGTAAACCAAAGTTTTAAATCGAGTTTCTGAACGCAACTTAAAGTGACATTTGGTTGACGATTTAGGTTATCAAACATTCATAGCCAAAGCTCACTAAATAAAAATAAAATATTAACCAATATTAATTAACAATATTTGTAATTGTTTGTTTACAAATGTTTGGTTTTTATTCCATAATTAGCTGAGTGCTAAAAAAGGGTTCCAAGATTTTTTTGCAAGCCGTACTTTTCAAGCGACATTTGACAGATGGAGGTCATTGGCTTTCCTATTCTTATTTGAATCGCATTATAGGGAGATTGAGCCATGACCCAACACGCGGACCCAGTGCGGATTGTGGGTACTAACTGTAGATGTAGCCAGGTCCAACAGTCACCTTATTCAAATTATTCAGCCTATAAGCTCTATTATGAAGATTTGGGGCAAATCACTTAAGTTGGCCCCTCAAATACGGAGGAGCTAAATTTTTGGTTGCCGATTTAAAGGAATGGGCTTTTTGATAGGTAGTTGCTTAAGAAACTTTGCAATCGCAGAATCCGGTTAGACAACACTGATCTAATAAATTCAATTCAATTCATTCATTAATTTGCATCACAAATTAATACAATGAATAATAAGCAGCCAAATGATTATAAGTTTAACAGTTCTTAAATAACTAGTATGAACTACAATCATTAGTGAGTGACAGTGATGCAAATAGGCAGAAGCTCAGCAGTGTTTTTGCCTTAATAGACAAATGCTGATTGTCAGCAACTGCCCGTAGGAAGCGCGAGGATGTAGGTAGACTGCAAAGCTGGCATTGTAATTCCCTAGTCCCACACAAGCACAATACACGAACATCATTTACTTCATTATTAATTTACCTAGCAATATTTGTTTACCTAGTAATATGTAAGTAATCATTAAAAAACAAAATTGTGTAGACAATATTAAATAAATATGTGTAAGTAATAATATAAAAAATAAATTTTAATTTGAATGTCGAGAATATTGAATGCTAAATCAAACAGTTTAATCTGGTTATCGTTTCACTAATCAGCAGATAATGTATAACGGTTACCGGCAGTTGGCTTCATCATCATCATTATACTAAGGCTATTAATGTCCCTACTGCTAGCGCACAAGCCCTATGGATGGAAAAGGTAGTACGAGCCATGACCCACCACGCCTCACCAAAAGACCAATGAATGGTTATACTTACCCAAGCAGCTCGAGCTAAAAAATATTTTTTCGGTCACTCATAATGAAAACGATGCTCTTCATCGGCGTTCCTCAAAGTTCTGTCCAGTGTAGTACATTCAGAGGAGTATTTACCCTAGAGCTTAAAGGGGCCGTAACCCAGGGTGGCAAACTGCGGCTGCAAGAGCTGTGGGGGTGCGGCAGCAGCGATTGAAAGGCATTCGGTACCTGAACTATATTTTGCTTTGATTTACTAATTCTAGGGTGGGGTACAAATCGTAATGACGTAAGAGTTATGAAAATTCTTTACAATCTGGGGTCCTTTAAGAGAGCCGTGAAAAAGCATTTTTGCAGGCCGCCAAGGTGAGGATGGTTGGTGTAGCAGTTTATAACTGCTGTACCAGCTATATTCGCGTTTGGACTTTATGACCACTTAACATCAGGTGGGGTAGAGTCATTCGCCTACCTGGCAAAAAAAATTTAATAATATTGATTACCACTGGCTTCAAATTATAGGCGCGCGTGGACCGTGTCCATGTAGATGGGCTGAACCGCACCAAAGACGACATCATAAAGAGCACAGTAAACGATCTCTTCCAAGCCACAGACTTCGAGGATGTCATAATGCGCGCGCACAAGGTAATCGTAACATACACATAAATAAATACTTCAATAAAATATAACTAGAAAAAATTCCACGCGGACCAGGCAGCAGACGGGACTCGAACCCGCACCCTTCGCAATCCGGGCGAATGCACTGACCAATTATGCCACCGCGGCCCTCACGGACCGCGTCGAAATTCTTCTAGCCATTCTTAAGCTGCAAGGCAGCGCCATCTCTTCGCATTATAGGTAACCCACAATGTCAAATGAATACTTTTACAAGTATTAAACATTTGAAAGAAGAAATAGCTAACTAAACTGAATTATAACTATAATCGCTATATATTGGTCAGTGCATTCGCCCGGATTGCGAAGGGTTCGAGTCCGGTCTGCTGCCTGGTCCGCGTGGAATTTTTTCTAGTTATATTTTCTTTAGATTTAAACATCAAGCAGTTACATGCTTTAAAATAATAAAAATTATAAATACTTCAATATTTCTGTTACTCACACCAATTAGCCTAGCACCAAAGTAAGAACTGTGACCTCTCGTTTTCACCAAGGTATAATACGAGTATTTAAAAAAAAATACAATGTCTTTATTTTTTGTTCACGTTTATATACATGTATAATACATCTACCATACAATACTTGCATCAAACTTGTTGGATATACAAAATATGTGAAGTAAATAAGTGATTCATACTTGTAGGATACTAGTTGTCTATGCAGTGTAAACGAAATAATGTTTTTTAAACTGCCACAACAAGTATTCTACAAGTTTAGTTTAAAACTAGTATATATGATTTGTTTCTGTAACGAGGTGTGAGGTTAGTGTTATGAGATACTAGGGTAATGTAACTTGCACGAACGTAATCAGAGTCTTATAATTGAATTCGCGATTTCGATCAAATGTCAAGAAGTTTTTTAATAAGAATAATAATAATAAACACTTTATTGCTCACATACATAAGGACATAGGTACAAACAATACATTAATAACAATAATATGGGCAAAGGCGGTCTTATCGCTACAAGTGATCTCTTCCAGACAACCTTCGCGGTATAGGTAAGCTAAACGGAAAAGAAGATGTAGTAAGCCAGCAGAGTCGATGAGAAATGTAATTAATATAATATACGTACATATAAGTAATTGTCTATCATACACACATATACATATTATATATATATATATATATATACATACATACCACATATAAATATATATAATTGAACATAAATATATACCTACATACTAACAAAATATGTAATGTTAAAGTAGACTAAGTTCGCAGCAGAAGGAGAGTATGTAATCTACTTTTAAATATGGGAAGTGACTTTGAACTCCGGATTTCAGACGGCAGCTTGTTCCAAAGTTGAGCCACTTTAACTGTAAAGGAATCCCTATAGTATTCTGAGCGAGTTAAAAGGATCTCCAACAAATTATCATTTTTGGAGCGCAACATGCGGTGTGGTTTTATATGGAAATTTGAACAGCGCTACATCGGTTGTAATGAAAATTACGGGGAATTACGAGAATGCTCACCAATGAGGGCTATCGCGTATGAAGCCGCCGCTAGAGGCGCTAGTGTAGCGTGAGGTCTCCGAAATGTCAAATGTTATTGGTTGTGGGTTGACTACGCGGGTTTATTTCTAATTAAAATAATGTTGTGAATATTTAGTAATAACTCGGCTTAATTATAGCAAATATGAGTTATGTGGCATTGAATGTCAGTTATTTAAAAGCGGAGCTAAGAAAAATAATTATGTCCTCCTTTTTGCCGTACAAAACGGAGCTGCGCAACACTGTGGTATGCCCAATTATGTTTAGAATACGGTTCTTTTGTATTAAAATATGATTTAAATGTATACTTTGATTTCACGCGCGTATTAATAAACATTAAAAGTTACAATTCAGGACCTCACTCAACAGTGGCGCCATCTGGTGAGACAAAAAACGGTAGCCCTCATTCTTCCTCTCTTAAAATTTATGGGATGTAGACTAAACATTTTATAATATATATGTATAGGTGAGACGAGCCCTGGACTCGATGGGTTGTTTCCGCGACATCGGCGTGTTCATCGACGTGTCATCGGGGCCCGAAGCTACGCCTGAGGGTCTGGAGGTAAAAACTAAAATTACCTGTATTCTATTCAATTTTCTCTGATACAAAAGGTACACAAATGTATCAATACAATATGTATTTATTCAGTTTAGGCTTTTACTAGCACATGGGTAAGTCGAAAGCTACGCCATCGGTTCGCAAATCTACGGCGGGAGACCTCATACTGAGAAGAACTGGCAAGAAACTCAGCTAGGGCTTCTTTCTTCTCCCTGTTTTATTTCATGCAGAGTCAAGTTGAAATCTGACATCAAAGTTATCGTATATTCCTAGTCGCCCCGCGTTAACCGCCCCCGCCAATGTTTCTAAAACTTTTTTATCGAGAGTTTGGCTGGTGTATGTAACCAGACTGATAACAAAATTTCACATGTCAACGTAAATAATTAGGCATTATCACTACTCTTCAATTTAGCAGTATGTACAATAATGCGTTCATACTATGGGAACAACTACAGTTTTAGGTATTATTAATGTCACGTTTTTTAAATTATTAAATTTTCAATGTTACATTTAAATTATAAAATTAGACCTATTGAAAAACCATTTTATGGTTTATTTACCTTTTGCCTCAGAGGAAGTTGAAAATCGTGCGTTAACGTGTTCAGATCGGAGGTTCTAAAATTGTTTATACAATCATTATTATCATCATCGGCCTATCAATATTTAAACTAGTGGGGCACAAAGGTTTTAAAATAGTGACATTTGTTAGTAATTCTTAAAAAAAGGAATTTTATATTAATTAATTAATTCTTATAAGTTATTTTTGAGCCCTTCTTATATTTTGATATATTTTTTATAATTTAGGTCCCACAAATGACCTCTTGTTAAGTAACAGTGGAGTTCAAACGTAAATAATAATAGTCGAATTATAAAAGAAATCTGTATAATTATATATTTAATTTCATAGTAAGTATGTACGTTTAATTGTTGTTTCATGAAATATGTTTAACAGAAATAGCTAGATCGTAAAAATCCTTGTCGCAATCACGGCGACCATAAAATTATCCCTTATTAATGTTTTAAATTTGTAAACTTATAAATCTATTAAATTTAGTTCTGTATTAAATTTAAACACTCGATAAACTTATGTAATAAACATGACCATTCATTCATTCATTCAATAGTTCTATTAACAGAAATAGATAGATCGACAATTCATTCAATAGTTCTATTGAATGAACGAATGCATTTTCCGTTTTCGTTTCTGATGATGTAATACTCGTAGAAGTTTATTCATTCAAATCAAATCACATAACGCGAGCATTATTTACTATACAAATTGTAATTAATTAATTTGTTCATTGTTATCGTACGAAGAATATTTACGCGTTTTTCGTGTTCGCATTAAATTTGGACGACGTTTTATCTTCTTTTTTTTATGTAAAAAGGGTGTTAAACAAGCTTATGGTCCGCCTGATTGGAAGTTGCCACCATAGCCTATTGCAATACTAAAATTATCACTCGCACTGTTGCCTCCCCTACCCCGTGGAACCCTGGAACCTTACTCACCAACAGAAACCAAAAAATTGGTTTTTTGTAAGGTGAAGGATACTTCGCCATACGGGCGCTCCAATTCGAGCGAAAAACCGCTTGTTCTACTGCTTAAAAAAATTTCGTTGCTTGAATTGTCATCGTTTGTGGTGGTAAGGTGACGTTCCAAGTGAAGGAGTTGTCCCGCGTGGTGGGCGGCATCAACACCACCGTCAGCGAGAACGAAGGCAACCTCGTGCTCGGTGAGTCTACTATACATATACAGATAAATTCTCTATTGCACACACACAAAAGAATAAATCTAAAATGTTTAGTTAACATACATAATTAAGTTCTGTGTATTTCTAAGTTTTCGCGTGATTAAGTAAGAAATATACAAACTTTCACATTCATAATATAAGTACAACGATATTAAATATCCTAGATACACCAACACGAACAAAATTGTGCCCGAAACCTGTCCAAAAGGTACATTGGACGTTCCACGGAGCTCCGTAAGATGATCGCGTTGTCAAATACAATATAAGGCATTATTTAAACATTGACAGTCACCTTTAATGCATACTGTATAAGGTCTTAATTAAAACGCATGCGTCAAAGAGTTATGATGGTTCGAAATGCAAGCTCGTAAAATTTTACGATTTATAAAATATAGCTATATGTAGAAGAATATATACCTTTCTTTTTTTTCAACGCGCAATCCCTAATGCGCTGTTGGCAATATAGCTGGTATGGACCGCGAGGAAAAGAGACGGCTATATTACCGACCATGCATTTGAATATCACAAATATTTTATGTTAAAATCAGTTTATAGTAAGTATTACAACAAAAATTGCTTCAAATGCATTAAATTAACAAAAATTTATTGAAGTGAAACTTCTTTATCGGCGTTGGAAAAAAATTTACCGTCACATTTTTTCGGTTATGCGTCACGTTTCTTGGTTACGCGCCATCTTTGTTTTAAAAGAGCACTATTTACCTCATCCGAACAATTGCTTCTTCTGTCAACTTTAAAAAAAAAAAGTATCGACAACAAATATTCGTGTTTCACACAAGGTAAGGTAAGGTAAGGTGTAGTTATACCCCTTTAGTGGGTGAGTTTTTGAAAAATCTTAGCGCACGCCTATATATATATTTCTGGAAAGTTGCATGTAGATCATTTTTCGAAAAAAATAAGGCCATAAAGAAGTTTCACTTCTTACGTGTGTACACTAGTACACGCACACATTTTTTTTAGATACCTATCGAAAAAACAAAAAACGATACTTTACTTATTATAAGTATTTTTTTCGTATTTTTTCACGGAGCTCTGCGGCAAGTTGACTTGTCAACGGTCCGCGCGTGACTGTGAACCAAGAAGTGCATGAGTGGTGTTCAAGCACTTCTTGATTGGGACACATTTTGAGCGCACATGGTGTATCTAGGGTATTTAATATCGTAGTATAAGTAGGATAAATAATTGTTGTTATTAATAAAGGCGTGAAACTGCCCAACGTGGCGGGTCGCGGGGAGCGCATAGCGGCGGAGTACAGCGTGGGGCACCGCTCCTCCTCCAACTTCAGTGTGGCCGCCACCAAACCATTCCCGCACAAACCACTCGCGCCCGTGTGAGTTATATATGTAGCTCGTGTCTCACCCATTATACTCGTTTATGTTATTTATAGGATTGCTACTATGTACAATCAACTGATTTGATTCCTGACCCACCATAACGTTATGGTGCGATTACACTTGGTCGTTAGCCCGATCACGAGTGCCAATGGAATTCGGGTAAACGGCTCAGTGTAAATGAACGAAGTAGAGTACGTCCGTATTCAGGTAGATTTCCTTTTGTTTAGCCGACAGTGTCATCCGATCCGTATTCCAGTGTAAATATTGCTTCGGGTGCCCGAAATTCAGCAATATCTTTCGTGCACCGGAATATGGGCTAACCACCAAATATAATTGCGCCATTATTTTGGTACAACCATTCCAAAGCAATGAGGTCGATTTTTGCTTAAATATACGTATCTCTGGACGCAAACTTGTTATTCTCTGAACAATCATAATTGACCTGACAGATTTTGCCGCCTTTCTGTGATGTAATTTAACATTTTAATTTTTAGAATTTTACCCACGGTTTTAGTTTCAAACTTTGACGATCTTTAACTTTGTAACTTTTAAAATATAAAGAAAATTTTACTACTTAAAATTCCACGCGGTCCAAATAGCAGACTGGACCCGAGCCCGCACCGTGGATCTGATTTAAAGGTGCGAGGCAACGAAGGAGTGGAGGCCCCTCAATCTGGGCCGGACCGTTTTCTTGACGAAATTTGATTTTTATATCCGTTGTGGGGTTTCCTGGACCACAGCTCCACCTGCCTCGCCTTAAATCCAGCCCTGCTCGCACCCTCCTCATCCGGGCGGAGGCACTGACCAATCGCAATAACACGGTCTTAATGGCCGTGTCCAATTTCTTCTAGAATTTCTCAAAATGCAAGCTTACATTTTGGTCGATCGACAAAAGAAAAAATATGTATACATTATTTTTTGATCATCATCATCATCATCATCATCATCAACAGCCTATCCTAGTCCACCGCTGGACATAGACCTCTCCAATTTGATATTTTTTGATAGTAAATATAATTTGGTTCACTTTCCCCGTCATCACCCCTATACGCTACTGATACCAGGGTGACGTGGACGGTGTACCAGCAGAACCACGAGTACCCGTGGTCCGGGTACAAGCTGCTGGACCGCGGCCTGCTGCTCGACCTCTCCTTCAACACCTCCGCAGCGGTGAGACTCATATATATACAGGGTGTTACAAAAATACAAATAAAGCTTGAAGGGCGTTGAAGTACATCAAATTAGGAGTCTTCTCTAATTTTTTTTAAATATTTGCATGAAGTTTTAACTTTTTATAAAAACAGTTATTTTTAATGATCAATAAAAATATCGATCTTTTTAAGATACGTCACTAGTTCGAGGATCATTAAAAATAACTGTTTTTATAAAAAGTTAAAACTTCATGCAAATATTTTAAGAAAATTAGAGAAGACTCCTTGTTATGATGTACTTCAACGCCCTTCAAATTTATTTGTATTTTTGTAACACCCTGAATTTTTATTTATTTAACACACAACAACAGTATAGGTACATAAGAAGCTTGAAAAAATATACTCATCAAAAAAGTACTTTTGACCGAAGTTTTTGAACTTTTGACCGATATTATCAATATTTTCAGTATTAATATTATTTTTAAAGAGAAACTTAAACGCATGCTTGACTTGGGGAGTAAGCTGGGGATCGCGTTACGAAAACTGTGATCGGGCGAGGCGAATGGGAGTTGAGTGGGGGATATAAGCAAGAGAGAGCAGTGCACGCATACGTTTTCTTTCTCGCTTTCTCTTATAGCTAGTAAATGAAATATGTATATGTACATACATGTATATATACAGGATGGTCCAACTAGTGACGTCAATATTTTTTTTAGATTCCTCGCACCTGGGGGTATCCGAAAATACCCCATGTATGTTCCGCGATTTTTCTTAGTTTCCGAGTTATATTTTTTATGTGTATTTTTAATGATTTCTGTCGGCGAGGTTTCAAAAATTTTTCCTTTTTCGTAGTAGGTATTTTGCAGTCTTTTTTTGTGAGATAATTGTCTTGAATGTTGTTTTAATAAAAAAATCACTCAGCTTCCTACAATTACTTAAAGTTACTCAAAAAAGGCTTGAAAGTTGGAACTTTAGTTTTTAGTAGGATTTACTCAAACATTCAACTTATATAGATAGATAGATAGACAGACAGATGGAGCTAAAGAAGTTTCACTTCGGTCGTGTGGTCATAAGCACGCTCTCTTTTTTTTATTAATAACCAGTTTGATTTATTTGTGACTTAAGCACAAAACCCTTTGACTTAATTATAGATTTCATAATGTTAATATAAATATAAACTGATAAAACTTTTGATTACTGTAAGACATAAAAATACGTCCAGCTGTGTAACTTTAATCGGTGTAAATAGCATTTAATGAACGAATCGGAGATCATAATTGTAATATTTTAACATAGTCATCATTATAAATTAAATTTTAAAATAAACCTACTAAGCATATATCAAATGTCAAAAGTTCTTTTTTTTAGAAATAATTTACTTTATTAATTAATACCGAATAAATTTATGATCAGAACACAACAGAAACACATTCAATAACTTTTAGTTTTTTTATAATAAATCAATATTTCTGACACACACACCAATCAGAGCGTCTTTTATTCATGAAGATTTTACTTCTCATTCATAAAATAAGATCAATAGTCGAATTATGAATGAATGAACGAAACCTTAGAAGAGAGACTAAGTTCTGAGTGAATGTATGAATGAACTGTACAGGGTTTAATGAAGTACGTAATTTCATAGTCTTGTACTTATCTATTTTACCATGTATAATAATTGTTGGAGGCTCGTAATTAATAAAACACTTTCTGAACGGATATAAAGCGCTATTTAAGAAAACTTAAGCCTGTAAAGGGCTTTAATTTAAAATTAAAGAAATAAATAGTCACTTGCCAGACGAAGGCAAAATAGATGAACGATGTTTTAGTTACGAACTCCTTGTACTCTATTTTTATGATTGAATAATTCATTCATTCATACTCGTTCAAAGAGTGTTTAATTAAATGACTAGAGGTTGCCCGCGACTGCGTCTGCGTTAACTTAGTTTCTTGAAAATCCCTTTGGAACCTAACATTTTTTCGTGATAAAAATAGCCTTTGTGTTAATCTAGGGTGTCAGCTAACCCCATACCAAATTTTATTAAAATCGCTCCAGCCGTTTAGACGTGAAGAAGTAACAAACATACACACTCACATACTCACAAACTTTCGCGTTTATAATATTAGTATGATTCGTGTTAATGAAAACATAAGAAACTAATAGGCTTATGATTTTAGACGAAACACAGCATCCAATGGGAGGGCTTGGTGCGCGACACGTCGGTCCTCAGCAAGACTACGAGCTTCCGCGTGCGAGAGAGTAGCGGTCAGTTCTTCTGTCACACTATATTTTTATACTAATAATAAAATACTAGCAAACCAGTGAACCAAATGTTCACCAAAATCACCTGATTTCTCGAAAACCGGAAGTGCTACGTTACTCAAATCCGATTTGTAGTCTTATCAGACTATTCTTAACTTATAACTTAAATATTCTCTTTATCTATCTCTTACGGTTTGGCCGCTGAAACAGCACCACAGACAGACGGACTTATCTAATAGATAAGAGATACTGGCCTGCAATACTAAGTACATATTACATTTTAAAAATTGCATTATCTTTTTAAGTACACAAGATATACTTCCGAAATAAAAAGAACTCGAAAAAGAGTTTAATTATACGCTGTAGTAAAAAAATGATTTTTATATTGATTTATCCATACAAAATTACGAAATATCACAAGGGGAAGGGGGCTGTAGTAATAAAACACGTGTATTTCCGTGGTCCGAGGATACTGTACATTAAATAATGTTCTTGTATTAGTACAAAAAAGTTTATATTTTAATTGTGATCTGTAAATTGTTATTCACATTTTAAAGCATTAATGTGTGTCAATGAATAATGAAAATAAATAATATCTCCATATATAAAGAAAATATAACTAGAAAAAATTCCACGCGGACCAGGCAGCAGACGGGACTCGAACCCGCACCCTTCGCAATCCGGGCGAATGCACTGACCAATTATGCTACCGCGGCCCTCACGGACCGCGTCGAATTTCTTCTAGCCATTCTCAAGCTGCAAGGCAGCGCCATCTCTTCGCATTATAGGTAACCCACAATGTCTGAATACTTTTTACAAGTATTAAACATTTGAAAGAAGAAATAGCAATTATAGTTATAAATTTTATTATTTTTAAAGCATGTAACTGCTTGATGTTTAAATCTAAAGAAAATATAACTAGAAAAAATTCCGATTCAAATCTTTAATACTTGTAAAAAGTATTCATTTGACATTGTGGGTGGTCCGCGTGGATTTTTTTCTAGTTATATTTTCTTTAGATTTAAACATCAAGCAGTTACATGCTTTAAAAATAATAAAATTTATAATCGCCATATATGTTCATACCAGGTCCTCAAATGAAATCCGTAGTCCGTCACATAATATCAGTGGATCATCGCGACGAGCCAATATTCCCTACTAAAGGGTCGTGGGTTCAGTTCTGCAGTGAATTAGCTGGATTGGGCGGTGGAGTCGCGCATTTGAAGACCGAACTAAATATACAGGCTAATGGACAGATTATGGAGGATGTGGTAAGTGGTATTATACATATACAACATAGTCTTAACACTTAATACCTATACCTTAATATTCATACCTGAATCACAATAATTATAGTTTACTAGAGGTCGCCCGCGACTTCGTCTGCGTTAACTAAGTTTCTTGGAAATCCCTCTGGAACCTAACATTTTTTTCGGGATAAAAGTAGCCTATGTGTTATTCTGATCTATAAGCTACATTACTGTAAAGTTTCATTAAAATCCGTTTAGTAGTTTTTGCGTGAAAGAGGAACAAACATCCATCCATACATCCATCCAAACAAACTTTCGCCTTTATAATATTAGTAAGGATTCTGACGATGCAGACATGAAAAGGCTGCGAAACGTCAATAAATAAATAAAGTTCGCGCATTAACCCGTTAAAACTAGTTTTATTTTAATAATTATAGTTTTTATTCTTTATGCTATAAGTTGATTTTGTATTTAGCTTATTTTGAAAATCTAAGTACCATAATGTATGTATCAATACATGATTTGTTGGTAAACTTGAGGAGCTTGATGGCGCAAGTGGTTAGCGCTTTTGGCTGCGATCGTTAAAGATAAGCAACTTTCGTAGTGCTCGGTCATTGGATGGGTGACCAAAAATTTACTATCTTTTACTACTCCATGCTCCGGAAGGCACGTTAAGTCGTTAGGACCCACAAATCCGCACTGGGCCCGCGTGGTGGGTCACGGCTCAATCTCCCTTTCCTATACATAGGGAAGGCCTGTGTCCCAGCAGTAGGACATTAATAGGCTGATGATGATGATGGTAAACCAATAAAATATAATTTATTTCACATATATTATGGATCGTAGAAGTTAAGAAACTAGCTGATAGTAATAATGGGTAACTTAATTATTTATTATGTCGAGTTAATGTGTGCTTCAGAAGGCATGTTCGGTTAATGATTGCCTCATCATCATCATCAGCCTATTAATGTCCCCATTGCTGGGGCACAGGCCTTCCCTATGGATGGAATAGGGAGATTGGGCCTTGACCCACCACGCGGGCCCAGTGCGGATTGGTGGGTGCTAACGACTGCAGATGCAGCCGGGACCAACGGCTTAACGTGCCTTTTGAAGCACAACGCAAAGTTGCTTAATTTCAACTATCGCAGGCGAACGCGGTAACTCTACTGCCTATACAGCACTGTTATTAATATTTTTGCATTTAATGTAGGTCACAGATACTGTTGATGAATTGTTTAAAATTTTTCGTTAAATATAAAATAGAAAGGTTAAATATGAAAAAATACATAATCTATTTTCGATTTTTCATTTATTCAGTGTCGCAACTTTAGGCTCCTCAAAGCCGGTCAGTGCATTCGCCCGGATTGCGAAGGGTGCGGGTTCGAGTCCCGTCTGTTGCCTTGTCCGCGTGGATTTTTCTACTTATATTTTTTTTAGATTTACACATCAAGCAGTCACATGCTTCAAAAAAATAAAAATTATAAATATTTATTTATCTATTCCATTTATAGGTTCAGGCTTGCGCTCCAGCAGCGGGGACACTAATAGGCCGATGATGATAATAAATAATGAATATTTCCAACACTCACATCACTGTAAGGCTCGCGTTATAGGTCGCCGGGGTAACGGATGGAATACATATACAGTACATATATAAGTATAATTATATAGAAATACATATTAAACATCCATGACTGGAGTACCAATGCTCGCATTCATCACACAAATATCTGCTCCCACCGGGTTTCGAACTCGGGACCTCTCGAGTTGGCGACACCATGTGTTGAGTACCTATAGACTCATAGTTATACGTTCCTACATTTAATCATGTGATGCGGCTTCCGGATGGATAGTTGCTACTTCACATCCGCTACCGCCATACACAAGTAGCGCCCTCTATGAAAAACTAAGCAGAAACGTCCTGTTTTGCCTGTGACCCGGGTCGCGAAGCAGCATAATAACGCCGTGCGTTAAAACATTTGAAGAAACAGCAGTTACTGTGTCTAACACCGTGTGTGGAATATTTCTACAGTTCGTGAAGTGCCCCATAATTGGATTTCAGCCCTACCATCCTGCTACAGCAGTTAAATACCGGTGAGTCGTACTCCCATTGGTTTCTTGTTGGAACAATAACTTGGGTCACTCCACTCGTTTACCCTTTCTTTTCTTTTAAACGATAGCTAGATGCTACACCATGAAACCCGGCGTATAAAACACTCGGCCACGGAGGTCGTCAAATGGTGATGATGATGATGATTATTTATCATATATGTCAGGTGCTGCAAGCGTCGGGTTCGGCGGGGGTCCTGCACGACGTTTTCGGATCGTCGCTGCCGGACCGGCTGTTCCTGGGGGGGCCCGCCTCCCTCCGAGGGTTCCGGCAGCGGGGCGTGGGGCCGCACTGCGACGGACAGGCCACCGGGGGAAACGTCAGTCATATGCTATTTCAATCGATAACGATTTAAAATTTAATAATAATAATAATAATAATAATAAATATATCTTTATTCAAATAAGGTCATACATTGCATAATAATACTAATAACAATATAAAATACAAAATAATGGATGCCTGAACTAGGTTACAGTTAAAATTGTACCTGTATTTCAGGCTTTTATGATCTAAATAATACATAGAATATTTAATAAATTAACAAATTAATTAAAACAGAACTTAAAGTAATCATTATATAAATGTTGGTAAATGTAAATAATGGAGTTACGTTCATTTATTTACAAATAAGAAGTAATTCTTCGGTCTGCTCGTATGTCCGGCTGTGCAAATAATTAAATATTACAGTTCTACAGTTAAAATAGTTTAATGTGTAAATACCTAATACTCTATTTAACTTATTATATAAGAAAGGACTTAGGAAAGTAGAGAATCTATAAAAATTAATCAAGACCAAACTACCCGAACTTTATGTTTACGGAATCGCCGAGTCCAAATATGGTGACGGAATAGCGAAGTTGGTTCGCGTTTTTTTAACAACATAAACCGCGCTATGCGAAAAACTATTTTTTTTGCATTATTGCTGATTTCTGAAAAAACGCGAACCGATTTCGCTATTCGGGCACCATGTTTAGACCCGGCCACCCCGAAAACGTAAAATTCGGGTGATCACCCGAATTTGGTTACTTTTTTTTGTGAACCCGTGTCATTGATCGAATAAAGTTTTAACAGTATGAATGCCCTGATTTATTTATATATAATGTTTCGCATCCTTTTCGGGCTGCGTCGCCCGAATTAATTTGAGGAATGATTCAAAATCATAATTCTGACGCCGCAGCCTGTGAAGGATGCGAAACGTCATAGATGAATAGATCGATGCATCTATACCGTTGAAACTTGTTTAATTTAAAGAGTGGTGTGCGTGAAAATCTAAGAAACGAATAATTATTCATTATTTATCTATTGAATGATTCATAGAGAGTGAAGCTTCCGTTACGTTTCTGATTCGTTCTTCGTGTCTTGTATGGAATGAACGACCGAACGAAACGATGGGACGAGTGGTAAAATGGACTGACGAATGGAAGAACTCGTGTAAGTAATGACCGATTGAATGTGTGAAAAATTGAATGAATGTACGGGAAAGTGAATGTTCGATTGAGTGAATGACTGGTTGAATTAATAGTAAAACAATTATTAAATGAATGAATGAGTAATAAAAGTAATGAATGAAACGATGAATGTTTGATCGATTTTATGTTTATTAAATGAGTGAATGATTCTTTAGAAGAATGACCATTTCAATGGTAGAATGAATACCAAAATGAAAGAATGAGCGATTGAACGAATTTATGTTTCTCGAACGAACGAATGATTCCTGTGTTAATTCAAACAACCATTTATCGAATAAATGATTGTTTTAATGAACACAGGATAGGTTTATTTTAACATTGTTCGAATTAATGACAAAAAATGAACAAATAAAAAGACCGTGAATTTTCATCTATACAGGGTGAAATTGAATGTTTCTATGAAACTTCGTGAGATTGTTGGGTTACATGTATAGAGTATACCTGATTTTTTTCGGATTTTTAAAATTATTTTTTTCGTTTTTTATTTTTTTTTATTTTGCATTTTTATGTCCTTTCCTCCTTTTGAGTGATAATTATTTTTAAACACGTATTCATAGTAAGTGAAATATAACAAATAAATAAGCACTACTAAAATAAACGAAAAATAGTTGATATGGCCAGGCGAGGCCGACGCCGGGGGCAACGACCGCGCGCTCACAGCTGACGCGGCGCGTACCTATCTACAGTACAGTGAGACTACGACCTCGAGATACTGTGTTCATACTAAACAGCATCTCAAGATCGCTCTCAGAGTTGAGATCGTTCTATTCATACGGGCCTTAGATGTCATATTACAATGACAAAATTTAAATAAAGAACAAGAAATACCTAAATAATAATTTTGTTACAAAAACAAATACTTATTGCAGTTTAATACTTGTGTCAGAAAGAAATTTATAACTAGGTATTAGACAGTACTTACGAGACCGGCGATGTAGGTGTACATTACAATAAAATAGTCTTAGATGCTATATTATAATTATTTATTCACTGATACACAATACCTTTGAATATTGTTTCATAAAGCACAGGTAATTAATCAATAAAATAAATCTTCCGTTAGAGCAATTAAAAATCCTATAAAGTTAATATGACTGTCACGATTTTAAATCGGTAAAGCCTGTCTGTTAGTGCAAGAACTTCTTTTTTATTGTTAATGTTAGTTGCCTCGTTTAATTAAAACTTAAGCACAAACGGCTTATTAAATTGGGAAAAATCATACAGAGCAAATCGGTATAACTTACGAGCTTAGTGAAGGAAGGAACTCTTCGTGTCTGATTTGCCCACGTCATGAAATTCCCAACACATTTAATCACAGCCACAGTCACACATACACACACACACACACATAATAATATGTTGTTTTGCGGCAAGCACGCTGGCAACTAGCGCCGGTTGCGGCGTCTTTGATGATGTGAATTCCGCCCACCTCCCCTCTTCCCCGCGCGCGGTGGTTTGCTTTGATTGCATGCAAAACGCGGTCGCAAGTATATATCAATCGCGCGTGCGCGTGCGCATCTTTTGACTTAGTGACATACACTGTGATAATTTCATTATGCCTCGGTATACGAACCAAAAATACCTATTTAGAGATGGTGTACTGCTATCGCGAGTGTGACGAAGTAGGTTTGGTTTACGAATGAGTCCCCAAACCATAGAAGTTGCATTTTGTGCAGTGAGTAGTGATAGGGACACTTTAAAAAAGGTGAAAAGACACGTCCGCAAACATGCCTACCTTTGTTTGCAGCAAAATGGTGGTTTAAAGCAACAATTTTGCAGATAATAATTTAAGTCTCTTTTTATTGCTAGTGTAAATACTTTTTGATTAGAAACAACTAATTGTGTACTACCAGTGTGATTGATTTGATAAAAAGTTCTAGTGAAAAAAATGAATATGTTCTTCGTTTCTCGTTGTACCTACTTACATCGCCGGTCTCGTAAGTACTTTTGAATACCTGGTTATAAATTTCATTCTGACCCAAGTATTGAACTGCAATAAGTATTTCTTTTTGTTTAACATTTGCCTATTTCCAATCGTGACAAAATTATTATTAACTTTTAAAGTTTTTCTCTGCTTAAGAGAAGATGACATTTGTGCTTATTATTTCAATTTCAATAAAGGCATCTAAGCCGATTTTATTGTATTGTGTTTAATCAAACGAGTCAGCTGAGCTCTATGTAGAGCTATGTACCTATTCACTCAACGGCTGGCGGGCGCGGTCGGTCGTTGACCCGCGGTGGAATTTTAATGTTTTTCCGTTTTTTAGAAGTGCTTATTTATTAGTTGTTTTTCACTGGATATGTAAGTTTGTTTGTTTAAAATGAATAACTACTCAAAAGGAGGAAAGGACATAAAAATACACAAATTATAAATAAATACATAAAAAAATATACTTCAAAAAAATCCGAAAAAAAACAGGCATACTCTATACACATAACCCAACAATCTCACGAAGTTTCATAGAAACATTCAATTTTACCCTATATAATGTTCTTAATTTATCTTTGTTATTTAATGATATTGGAAACAATAGAGAATTAGACAGTATTAAAAAAAATACCATTTGTATTAAGAGTAAATATATTGGTAGTGGTTTTTACTATTTTTACCTGGAAAATATTAAAAATTTTACTAATAAATCCCATGAAAAGTAAAATTGATTTTTATATATAGTCACGTGCCTAAACATAATTAATATTTCAATTAATCATTTAAACAACTCTTTAAACAAAAAGTTAAAACTACTTGCAAATAGGAAAAAATAGTAGAGAAGATTCTTTATATGACGTACTGCACCACCCTTCAATGATTAGGGGTAGTTACTGAACACCCTGTATATATACAGTTGTACTGGGCGGGCGGCGTGCACATATTCGGCCCGCTGCCGTTCACAAACGCCCAGACGGGAATAGCTTCCTTATTCAGAAGCCACGCCTTCCTTACAGCAGGATGTCTCGCCGACCCCGGTGAGTTCTATTAATAGCTTACTAACTAGGCCCTATTTCAGCAAGTCGACATACGTCACTGACATAACTATCATGGAGTTTAGACAGTGGCGTAGCATGGGGGGGGGGGGGGGGGGAATTAAAATATAAAAAGAAGTTAATTTCTTACAGTTTTTTTTCGTCATTTTTTCGTTGTTGTTACCAAATACCCAGGTACCTATGCAGTTTCTATGCATGGGTGATGCGAGCGCAAGGTTTCTCAATAACTATTATTTGGGAAACTTATTTCGTTTCAAGTTTCAATGTTATTTTAAATAAATATGTCTCCTTACGCATTCTTTGTACTTCACCGTAGCTAAAGCTAAAAGCTACTGGTACAAAAACAGCAAAGTTACGCGTTACGCGTTACGCGTACATACTCTACCTTCTACTCTATGTCAAAAAATGTTAATTTCACTCTTAGGTTAGTGTTATTCAATAAAAGTACTCTTTTTACCATGCCTCAATTTTTTTTATAATCGATTGCAAAAATAAGAGGGCGGCATATTTGGAATCCGCACCGGGTGCTTGTGACCTATGCTACGCCACTGAATTTAGACAGATGGAAAACGAACGTTGTAGTAAATCAATAGTTTAATAGAAATATAGACAAAATAAGTGAGGCGCTGCGATCGCTAAGTTGTCTCAATACAAGCGGGCTACTTTGAAATGACCAATGCCGCGAAGATAATTTGTACATTATTCAACTAACTTCGTCTACTTATAAACAGCTAACTTCACAGATACTACTTAGCGACGGCAGCGCGGCTGGTGGCTGAAAAATGAACTATAAATTGTACAAATTTTCAGAGACAGGCGGGATAATGCTTTAGCACGTAGCGATCGCTTTCCTTCTCTCTAACCTCCATGATAACTATGTAAGCTGACTGACAATAGGGGTGATGACGGGGTACAGTAAACGAAATTCTATTTAGTCCGTCAGTTAGATGATCAAAAAATAATGGACACGTATTTTTTCTTTGGGCAATCAACCAAAACATGAAAAAGTTATAGCGCGTCCAAATTTGGGAGTAGGGGCTCGTGACGTCACTTTTAAGTGAAAAATTGTACCAAAACGTGACGTCATGCGACTTTTCAAATCAATATATCTCTGCAATGTTTATATTATGTGAAAAAAGAAAAAAATACGTGTCCAATACTTTTTGATAATCTACCTGATAAACGAAGTCATCAAAAATTAGTCATCATCCCTATTGTCGAGTGACAGATGACAAGTGACAATTTTGAGAATTATTTTCGGAAGTGTTTATGACAGGTACCTATTTTGTTGCCCCTCGTTTACACCAATAAACAAATCATATACTAATTTCACAAGCAATTTGTAGAATACTGGTTGTGACTGTTTGAAAAAAAAAATGGTTGCCTGTAAAGTCGGTTTTACGGGCGAAGATTTTACGTGACAACGTCTTTTTCTCGGTAGAATATTTATTGATATGAATATAATTAAATTGCACAATAGGAACAAGGAATTGAATGAAAATAAGAATTGCACAAATTTTAACTATAGAAATATATTTTGTTTACTAAAATATTGTACATGTAAACTTAAACTTAACACGAGAGACTCATCGTAACGTTACCGAGCGTTACACTTTTTCATAAGTGACTCCCAGCCGCAACCTAATTTAAGACGTTGTCACGTCAAAAGAAATCGTTTATACTCTTAGATTAAAGCAAAAACGGAAGATAGGGTACGCTCATATTAGCATCAAATAGAATATACTCAACTACATAAGCAACTCTCACACATGCGCACGTCTGTAAGGGGGTACTCCGAAATATACATCAGTATATTTCGGAGTACCCCCTGGCCAGTGGTAATGACGTCACGATTCCGACGCCATGTTGTACTGGTATGCTACCATATTTTTAGCGGGAAAACGAATATGACGTATGACCGAGCGTGCGTGAGATGCATTCGAATTTTATTTCTTTTTTATTTAAAGAACAATAACGGCATCCGAACAAAAAGTATTCCTTATAATTGATGAGGTGAATAAAAAAAATGGATGCGTATAACTTATGTACGCGCGTGAGAAGTTATACCTACTTCTTTAGCATCATTAAAAATATTTTTTAATTGCATGCAAATAATTAATAATTACAATAAAATAATAAAAGGACTGGAAAAGGATAGTTAACACAGTCAATTAAGTTCAGTTTTAATTTGAAAAATTAAATAAATATTCAAAATATTCAATTAAAATCACTACTGAATTTAAGTTACTAGTCCATATGTAATTAGCACTTGTAAGTAACTAAAACACGTTGTGTCTATATAGAAACTAGAAACATGTGGATAAATATTATAAATATGAAAACAGTGATCAGAGGCGACGAGCGTGCCAACATTGTTTTTGACAACGCGATCATCTTATGGAGCTCCGTGGATCGTTCAAAGTACCTTTCGAACAGATGGTGGTTAATAATCCACCATTATTAGACACTAACATTCATAACGCGCCCGCGGCCAACTTCATGGTGTTACTATTGTGTTACAGTGATGCGTGCGCATCTCGAAATTTCACTCACATGATTTGTTTTATAACGCGCCCGCGGCCAACTTCATGCTGTTACTTTTGGGTTACAGTGATGCGCGCGCATCTAAAAATTTCACTCTCATCATATTTACATAACGCGCCTAAAGAAGTATAACTTCAAAAATCTTCTTTATTCGCACTATTTTTAATATTTCATCGATTTATGACGTCAGTGCATTGGCCAGTATACTGGTATATATTACGGAATACACCCTAAATAAATATTCAATCGAGCGAGCGAGACAGAACTGTCCGCTTCAATGCAGCGCGAGCGAAACGGCTAGTCCTCGTATTGCTGTCCTTATCTTGATAACATATGGCGATTACGTTAATAATATTTACCACAAGCCGTAATTTATGAGATAAAATGTTTTTAAAGTTTTACGAATATAAAGTGTTGCAGAGGCATTTGTTATTTTATTTTAACTATTTGTGTTCTTTATAAAAGCATCGAAGGCATCGAGTGCACATGTAGCGTGTTCGAATGTCTAATTGTGACTAAAGCGAATTGTGGTCATGCACCACAATTTGATTGGATCGCTTTTGAGTCGCGGCAGCCGTATCTTCCCTTTTTGTTTTAATCTAAGTTAACGTTGTAAAGACAACTGGTATCTCACAAGTATAAATCGTTCACTTTATTCACTTCACATATTTTGTTTATACAATAAGTTCGATGCGAGTATTGTTTATAACATGTATATAGGTATAGATACGTATAGAATTTGTTAAATACATGTATTACACCTCGGCGTAAAGGAGAAGTTCCAATCGGCCGTGTGTCACTTCAAAGTCAATTTTATTGTGAAACAAGTGTATTTTTTTTTCGAATCTACTCTCCCCATTCCAGATGTCCATAAACAACTTCAGGAGATGCAATTAAAAAAAAATGTATTTATGTCTCCGAGTATTGTTATTTCTCAATATAAAGAAATTAATTTTGTCCCCGTAGAAGACACCACTACTTGGTGGTTAGAATCACTTTGTGCGGTCCGAGTGTCTGTAGGGGCGGGGGTCGCCCTCCGGTTAGGGCGGGCGGCGCGACTCGAGCTCAACTACTGCGTGCCGGTGAGGAGTCTCCCCAGCGACCAGCCCGCCGCGGGGCTGCAGTTCGGAGTCGCCGCGCAGTTCCTATAGGTGAGGGGGGGGAGGGGGGGGGGAGGGGGGGGGGGGGACACACGGAGCTCAACTACTGCGTGCCGGTGAGGAGTCTCCCCAGCGACCAGCCCGCCGCGGGGCTGCAGTTCGGAGTCGCCGCGCAGTTCCTATAGGTGAGGGGGGGAGGGGGGGGGGGTGGGGGGGGGGGGGGGGGGGACACACGGAGCTCAACTACTGCGTGCCGGTGAGGAGTCTCCCCAGCGACCAGCCCGCCGCGGGCTGCAGTTCGGAGTCGCCGCGCAGTTCCTATAGGTGAGGGGGGGAGGGGGGGGGGGGGAGGGGGGGGGGGGGGGACACACGGAGCCTCAACTACTGCGTGCCGGTGAGGAGGTCTCCCCAGCGCCCAGCCCGCCGCGGGGCTGCAGTTCGGAGTCGCCGCGCAGTTTCCTATAGGTGAGGGGGGGGAGGGGGGGGGGGGGGGGGGGGGGGGGGGGGGGGAAGGGGGGGGGGGGGGGGGGGGGGGGGGGGGGTGGGGGGGGGGGGGGGGGGGGGGGGGGGGGGGGGGGGGGGGAGGGGGGGGGGGGGGGGGACACACGGAGCTCAACTACTGCGTGCCGGTGAGGAGTCTCCCCAGCGACCAGCCCGCCGCGGGGCTGCAGTTCGGAGTCGCCGCGCAGTTCCTATAGGTGAGGGGGGGAGGGGGGGGGGGGGGGAGGGGGGGGGGGGGGGACACACGGAGCTCAACTACTGCGTGCCGGTGAGGAGCCTGCCCAGCGACCAGCCCGCCGCGGGGCTGCAGTTCGGAGTCGCCGCGCAGTTCCTATAGGTGAGGGGGGGAGGGGGGGGGGGGAGGGGGGGGGGACACACGGAGCTCAACTACTGCGTGCCGGTGAGGAGCCTGCCCAGCGACCAGCCCGCCGCGGGGCTGCAGTTCGGAGTCGCCGCGCAGTTCCTATAGGTCAGTGGGGACACCAAAACACATCTCAAGTGAAACTTGTTTTCTTAAATTACCTAACACTAGGCGGTGCATAAGGTGTGGGGAATGGAGCAACACATCCAACACTCATATATATATATATATATATCACACACATACACACGCACGCACGCACACACACACTTATTCGTTTATTTATTGATTGACATTTCGCATTCTTTTCAGGATGCGTCGTCTTAATTACCCGAAACGTCATTAAATGAATCAGTGCATCTTTTTTTTATATAGAGGTAGGCAAATGGCTCTACCCCACCTGAGGTTAAGTGGTGATAAAGTCTAAACGCGAAGATAGCTGGTACAGCAGTTATAATGCAAAAATGCTTCTTCACGCCTCTCTTAAAGGACCCCGAATTATAGGGGTTTATTTTATTATTATTATCTATACCGTTGAAACTTGTTATATTTAATAAGCGGTATGCACGAAATTCTAAGACAGAGATAAAAACAAGCATAAAATCTTTTTATTTTAATAAGTTTTATTATCTACCGATTTTTTATTTCAGATGTCATGTTTGGCCGGCACACGGAAACGCTTGATTTATTATAGACGGCTCATTCAACGCAATGTATTTAATAAATATAAATTGTCATAAACTCAACTCAAAAGAAGTCGGTGCGTTGTGTACAAATAGTTTAATGTTTGTTGAATTGAATATACAAATGTTTTAGTTTTTACAACTTGTTGTTTTATTAAACCCCCCCCCCCCCCCCCCCACTTTTCTATGACTTTAGTAATCATGTTTTTCGCCTATATACATTTAGAATTGCTGAAATGGTTATTAGCAGACGTGCTATCTTATGAGTGAACGAACGAATGGATACTTTATTTAAAATGATTTAAAGCTCTTTTAAATCATTCAATATTTATACGAAAATCTTAGCATTCTAATGTACCATCAAAAATATTAATTCCTAACCCACTTTAATTTACTTTATTACCATATTTTTTTTAAAAATGTTACGAATTCGATATTGATTCGTGCTAAGGGTACTGTACCCCCAGTATGACCCCAATATTGAATTCGAATAGTTTGCGAATGTGAAATGTCATTGTCAAATGTGTACTAATTTTTAGTTCTGTTTACGTACTTTATGGCGCTGCTTAAGTTTAACTTACATACAAATGGAGATTGCTCAGCTTCCATACATGTTTGGCCTAAAGACTAATAATCATAAAAAAATAGTTCCTAGATTCGAAATTATATGTAAATTACTGTAGAAACTAATATTATTGACGGACAGCCCTGAGAACTTCTAATACCATATACACTGAATGATTTTGAGGTTATGTTTGCAAATAGGTACATAGGTATTAAAATAATAAAAAACCAATATGTTATATAGTAATCTAGGGAAATCAAGCCAAGTACCGAAATTATGTATTAGATTCAGGTATATAGAGCATGTAGATTATCAGATAGTTGCCTATTTTTGAAGTTAATGCACAAGAGTAACTTTTAACATCATGTATCATCTGCATTGCTGCATGCATTTCCGGTTATAATAAGGTAGGTACTCTGTGACAGAAACTGTGTGATGTGAAGAATTGCGCATGAGCAACAGATTAGAGAGAATTTTTAAACTCTCGTTAACCAAAGAAAGCTAAGAGATTTAGGTTATACAGCCATATCTTCAGTAGCTTCATTATTTTTGTTATATTTATATTATAACCATTTTTAGTATCATAACTTACTATGTGTTTATGGAGGTGTTGTTTATTCGATTCGAGGCGATTCGCTCTAACAAATATTCCTTAGGTTTATGTTTATAATTATCTGTACCACCGTTGGTCGCGGCTGCGTCTGCAGTCGTTCGCACCCACCAATCCGCACTGGGCCCGCGTGGTGGGTCATGGCTCAATCTCCCTATTCCATCCATAAGGAAGGCCTGTGCCCCAGCATTGGGGACATAAATAGGCTGGTGATTATGACAATTCTTGAATATTTTTTTCATTTCATTTAGAACATTAGGAATTTTCAGATTTAAAAAGTGTTTAAGTATTTGTAGACTATGAGATGCACCCCCTTAAAATAATCATGGCAGCGCCCACGGTACTGAAAGTTGAAAATATTTTTTTTTGTTGAAAGTATAATATAGGAGGTAGAATACTACGTCTATGGTTGAAAATGATACAACATCGATTTAAAATTCATTTATTATAATAAAAAAACAGCTATTCTATTACTTACAATAATATTATGACTTTGTAACTATTCATAATTAATTTGTTGTTAGTTTATTTGACCAAATCGAAAAAAATAACTATTATTTAACAGATATTATCCTAAATCACAGCAAAATATTGTACAGTACAATATATTAGATTCTAAATCAAATATTATAACATTACTTTTGAGTGAATGAGTTCGCAACAAGATATCAGATATCAAATTTTTATTACTTTGATATTTATATAACTGGTCATATGGTTTACAATCGTTTGAGAATATTTAACACTTGTAATTTGGATTGACAAGCACGAATTTTGACAGCTCCGAAATGACTCCGAAAAAATAAACAGCGCCTCTACCGGACGAAAAAACAAACCGGCTCTTTCTATACAAAATTTGACGATAGCGATACGATTACGGATCTGTCAGAGTTTGTAATGCGCCTCGGATCTGTGAGAGTTTGTAATGTGCCTCGGATCTGTGAGAGTTAGTAATGTGCCTCGGATCAGTCTGTGTTTGCAATGTGCCTCGGATCAGTCTGTGTTTGCAATGTGCCTCGGATTTGTCAGAGTTAGTAATGTGCCTCGGATTTGTCAGAGTTAGTAATGTGCCTCGGATTTTGTCAGAGTTTGTAATGTGCCTCGGATTTGTCAGAGTTAGTAATGTGCCTCGGATTTGTCAGAGTTAGTAATGTGCCTCGGATTTTGTCAGAGTTTGTAATGTGCCTCGGATTTGTCAGAGTTAGTAATGTGCCTCGGATTTTGTCAGAGTTTGTAATGTGCCTCGGATCTGTGAGAGTTTGTAATGTGCCTCGGATCTGTCAGAATTCGTGCTTAGGGTAATTCTCCTATTGTTTGAAGACTTTTTATTTTACTAGTATGTAAAATTTTTTCAACGTGATTTACATCTAGGCAACACTGTGCGTCATGGCGGCCGCTAGTTATCAATGAAACGGCCCCACGCTGCTGCACTCGATCCAGCCCCACTGTTGCCTCGGTGTAACTCAGCCTTAAGGTTTGTACACTCCTCAACTCAATAACGTACAACAGTTTTTCGATTAGCTCATCGTTTGCACTCGTTAAATCATTTCGTGTTGGTACAGGTTGTTGTAGTGTAGTTTGTTCTGAAGCAAGTCGTCGGCAGTCATCTCCACGGTCAACGGGGGAATGAATGCTCCCGCCACGCATCTTGTCAAAAGTTAAACGATTTTTAATTTCTTAATAATAATAATATATATATATATATATATATATATATATATTTAAAGCATGTAACTGCTTGATGTTTAAATCTAAAGAAAATATAACTAGAAAAAATTCCACGCGGACCAGGCAGCAGACGGGACTCGAACCCGCACCCTTCGCTATCCGGGCGAATGCACTGACCAATTATGCTACCGAAGCCCTAACGGAACGCGTCGAAATTCTTCTAGCCATTCTTAAGTTGCAAGGCAGCGCCATCTCTTCCCATTATAGGTAACCCACAATATCTAATGAATACTTTTACAATTATTAAACATTTCAAAGAAGAAATAGCAATAATAGTTATAATTTCTATTATTTTAAAGAACTGCTTGATGTTTAAATCTAAAGAAAATAAATACTAGAAAAAAATATTGTTATAATAATTATTGTATTATATATTGTTTTAAACTTTCATGATCACTAACATTATAGCTAATAACGGGATTGTTACCATGTACCGTGTTTTTTATTATTAGACACTGTTGCAAGCGCCATGATCACGGAGTAACTGAAGTAATTGCGGGTAGATGTTATTGGCAGACATATCGGTCTACCCTCTGACGTTTTTTACTGCGTTCGATACCCCTCCCACTTTGTTTTGTTTTTTGTTGTGATTTCTTGCGGTTTTTTGTATTTAATCATGTCTAAAAGGGGTAAAACCTTACAAATACGGTAGAAAAGCATTACAGCGCCCTCCAATCTAAATCCCATTCTCTTTCCGCACAGACTCTACATGGTAACAATCCCGTTAATAGCTATAGAAAAAATCTTAATAATAATTATAATATTCTTTATTAAACACAACGAAGGACATAAACTGAGGAGCTGGCGAACAAAACGGTATAATTACGCAGCTGGTCAAATTACTTTTTTTTACAGTCCGGAGGTTTCGGGCCCGTTCAATTTGAATCTTCTATTTTTATATATATAATTCTTCTGTGAGTGTGTATGTCACTGAACTTCTCTTAAACGACTGGACCGATTTTGATGAAATTTTTTGTGTGTGTTCAAGGGGATCTGAGAATGGTTTAGATTCACAATTTTGTCCGCTGGACAACCCCTATTTTTTTAGGGCGAAGTTCGCTGGGTCAGCTAGTATATATATAAAAATCAATTGCTGTTCGTTAGTCTCTCGAAAACTCGAAAACTGCTGAACGGATTTATCTTATCTTGGTCTTGAAATGTTCGTGGAGGTCTAGGGAAGGTTTAAAAGGTGAGAAAATATGAAAAAAATTGCGAGGAACATAGTAAAAACCTCAATTTAATTTTCCCATATAAACTGTTCTATCTTCTTTCCTGTCAAACATTTGCGTCCCTTTTGGTACTGTAATAGATAGTATATGTATCCCCTTTAGCACACCATACACCCGCACAGACTGCAAGCTCATCATTATGTACTCATGGCCGCCAGTCCCATCCATACGATCCGCAGTCTCGATCCAACATCCTAACCAGACGGCTATCCTACTAAATAAATAAAATTATATCCTTCGCTATCCGGGCGAATGCACTGACCATTATGCTACCACGGCCCTATTAGCCGCGTCTAAATTTTCCTAGCCTTAAGCTGCAAGGCAGCGCCATCTCTTCGCATTGTAGGTAACCCACAATGTCAAATGAATACTTCTTCAAGTATTAAACATTTGAAAGAAGAAATAGCAATTATAGTTATGATTTTATTTATTTTTCAAGCATTTAACTGCTAGATGTTTAAATCTAAAGAAAAGTTTACTAGAAAAAAAATCCAAAATCAAATATTGTGGGTTACCTACAATGCGAAGAGATGGCGCTGCCTTGCAGCTTAAGGCTAGGAAAATTTCGACGCGGCTAATAGGGCCGTGGTAGCATAATGGTCAGTGCATTCGCCCGGATAGCGAAGGATGCGGGTTCGAGTCCCGTCCGCTGCCTGGTCCGCGTGGATTTTTTTTCTAGTAAACTTTTCTTTAGATTTAAACATTTAGCAGTTAAATGCTTAAAAAATAAATAAAATCATAAATAAAATTGTTTTTTTATAAAGCCATTCTTCCCGAGGCTCATAACAGTACGTTAGACTCGGGTGCGTCATTCAAGGATCCAGCTTTGGCGCCAGGGGGGGGGGTCATATAGTCGTGGTCAAGTCACAGTGGGTACAGATGGACCCAGTCCACGGGGGGTCCTGACCCCCATGACCCCCCCTCGGGATCCGCCCTTGCAGTCATTTCTTCCAAATTATTTTAACCCGTACAAAGTACGCGGGGTCAACTAGTCTCAAATAATAATTATC